TAATCTGTAAAATGGTGAGACTGGACTAATGATCTCTGACGTTCTTTCCAGCTCCAAATCTATGATGCTTAATGAATAACAGAAATGTAACGAAAATCTGATCCTCTTAGCCTGAATTCTTTCTACTTTATGGCTTAAAAATCTTATTTTCAAAAGTTGGGGGTAGGGGCAGCTAGGTGGCGCAGTGGATAGAGCACCAGCCCTGGATTCAGGAGGATCTGAGTTCAAATGTGGCCTCAGACACAAAACACTTACTAGCTGTGTGACCCTGGGCAAGTCACTTAACCCCCACTGCCCAATTCAAAAAAAATAAAATAAAACTGGTTAAACTGAGGAATTGCTTTTGTAAAACAGTCAAACCCTTGACAGTATCTTTGGTAAATCTAGAGAGTGTGATATATAGGTAGTGCAAAGGGTTGAAATTGGAGTCTTGAAGTGGTTAAAAGTCAGAAACCCTGGGTTCAAATCCCCACTCTGCTTCTTATCTATGTGACTCTAGTTAGGCAAGCCACTCAATCTCTCTAAGCTTCCATTCCTTCGTTTGTAAAATTAAGACACTGCTTGACCTCTCGGGTCCCTTCTAGTTATGATTTTCCAATAGGTTTGCCTATAATTGAACCAACAGAAACATCCTGGCAGCAGACCACCAGGTGGTGCTAGAGAGACATAGCATTGATATCCCAACCCTTGGAGCCACCAGAGAATACATCTTAATCAACAAATATTTCCTGATGGCCAACTGAGGGGAGGACCCTGGGCTAGACACTATGAGGGGAGGCCAAGGGGTAGAAAAGCCTGTGTAGGGGCAGCTAGGTGGTGCAGTGAATAGAGCACTGGCCCTGAAGTCAGGAGGATCTGAATTCAAATCCAGCCTCAGACCAAACACTTGACACTTACTAGCTGTGTGACCCTGGACAAGTCACTTAACCCCAATTGCCTTAAAAAAAAAAAGAGCCCGTGTTAGAGAATTGAAACCTACATAAGATGTTTAGACGAATTAGCTGTCTAGTAGACAGAATATAGGAGCATATAGCGCATCTATTTGTTTGTTTATACATTCATACATGCATACATTCAAAAAACAGTTCTAAAATGCATGCCTTCTGCCACTATTTCCTCCATCAACCCTGTTTTGCATGAAGATGTGGCCCTTCTCCTTCCCAAGGCAAATCCTTCTCCAAGTACAAGTGATCCCATTCTATCCCATCTTCTCCAGCAGATTGCCCCCTCCATCACCCATAACCGTCTCACTAATATTCAATCGCTCCATGTCCACTGGCTGCTTCTCTATTGCCTACAAAGATGCCCGTGTCTCCCCCATCCTCAAAAACCCTCACTTGGCACATCCATTTCCACTAGCTAGCATTTCATTTCTCTTCTCCCTATCGTTAGCTAAACTTCTCCAGAAATCCATCTACGATAGTTGCCTCCATTCTGCTGGCTTTCTTCTTACTCAGTCTGGATTCCAGCCATGTCATTCAACAGAAAATTCTCTTTCCAAAGTTACCAAGGATCTTTTCACTGCCAGATCAAGTGGACTTTTTTCAGTCCTCATCCTTCTTTGCCTCTTTGCAGCCTTTTTGACACTTCCCATCACCCTCTTCTCCTTGATAGCCTCTTTTCTTTAGATTTCCTTGACCCTACCCTAGCCTGATTCTCCTCCTACCTATCTAACTGCTCTTCTCCTCTCCTTTGCTAGATATTAATCTGATCACTCATACCTGGTGACCGCTAGTGTCCCACAGGACTGTCCTGGGCCTTTTTCTCTTCTCTCTCTACATTATTTCCAATTATATCAGGAGGGTGATATGGTCCTCTTCAAGAACGAAGGATGAATAACAACAATCTCTATATTTTTTCACTTGATGATCTCATCAGCCCCCAGTGGATTTAATTATCATCTCTATGTTGATGTTTCTGAGATTTACTTATGCAGTCCTAACCACTCTTAACTCCAAACTTGCATCTCTGTCTATTGAACATCTCAAACTCCATGTCCAGTAGACCTCTTAAATTCATTATGTCCAAAACTGAGCTCATTATCTTTTCCACAAAATCCTCTCCCCTTCCAAATTTCCCTATTACTTTTTTTTGGCAATCAGGGTTAAATGACTTGCCCAGGGTCACACAGCTAGTAAATGTCTGAGGCCAGATTTTGAACTCAGGTCCTCTTGATTCTAGGACCAGTGCTCTATCCACTGCACCACCTAACTGCCCCAAACTATTATTTTCGAGGGCATCACCATTGTCTTGGTCACCCAGGCTTGCAACTTAGGTATTATCTTTGGTTTTTCACTCTCTCTCACCTCCTCTATCCAATATGTTGCCAAGTCCTGTCAATTTTACTTTTGTTGCATCTCTCAGATATGTCGTCTTCTCTCCTCTGACAATGCTACCACTCTGGTGCCGGCCCTCATCTCCTCACACCTGGATTATTTCAATAGCCGGCTGCCTGAAGAGCCTCCCTACTCTAGTCTAGCCTTCGCTCAGCTGTCAAATTAATCTTCCTAAAGTCTGACCATGTCGTCCTCTCCCCCATTCCATAAACTCCAGTGTTTCCCTGTCACCTCCAGGATCAAATACAAAATCCCCTGTCTGGCATTCAAAGCCTTTCATATTCTGGCCCTCTCTTACCTTTCCAGCCTTCTTATACCTTACTTCCCCCTACATACCCTGTGATCTAGTGACAGTGACCTCCTGACTGCTCCTTGCATGACACTCTCTCCCTCCTGACTATGCATTTCCCTTCATGGTCCCACATTCCTGGACTGCTCTTCCTCCTCACCTCTGCCTCCCAGCTTCCCTGGCCTCCTCCAAGTCCTATCTAAAATCCTACCTTCTGTAAGAAGCCTTTCCCTGTCCTCCTTAATTCTAGTACCTTTGCTTTGTTGATCATCTCCAATTTATCCTGCATGTAGCTTCTTCATACATGGTTGTTTGCTGCTGTCTCCCCCATTAGACTGTGAGCTCCTTGGGAACAGAATCTGTCTTTTGCCTTTCTTTGTATTTGGAACTTAGTAAAGTGGCTGGCACATAGTAGGAGTTCCTACTCATTAAATGCTTATTGATTGGCAGACTGAAATAAATTGTGATTCCTGCCCTCACAGAGCTTCTAGCCTAGTAATTACAGCAAATCACACTTCTAAAGCTCTTTCAAATTTATGAGGCTCTTTCCTCCCAACCAACCAATGAGGTAGGTTGTATGAGATATTATCACCTCTATTTTATAAATAAGGAAATGGAAAGTCAGAGAGCTGCGGTGATTTCCCTGAAGTTACATAGTTAGTAAGTAGTAGTAAGGACTCAACCCCAGGTCCTTTGAATCCTGGACTTATAGTATCTATGAGTTTGGAAGGACCTTAGAGACAATCTATTCCAATCCCTACCTGCAACATAAATCCTAATCCAATCCAATAATCCCAATACAAATTTATTAAGCCCCTACTATGTGCCCAGCACTATGCTAAGCACTGGAAATACAATTAATAAAGACATTCCCTATCCCCAAGGAGCTCACAATCTAATGTGAGGAGACACAAAAGGAGGCGAAAAGAAGGGGGAGTAGGAGGAAGGGATGGGGAGACCAGAGGTACTTGGCCTGGGATACCCCTTGTTTGTTGGAGCTGAAACCAAGCAGAGAAGAAGATGTGGGGTAGACTGAGTCAAAGTCCTCTATAAAGGATGGCATTGGGAGGAGTTTAGCTCTCCACCTTCCAATCTGAGGAGAGAGGGGAGAGGAGGCTCTGCGAGAATTGGTGTCAGTCAAGACTTGGGTTAGCAGCAGTTAGGGGATGAGATTAGAGGTGATGAGCTTAGCCTGGACCAGGCATCTTGTTCCGTAGAGTTGAAACCAGGGAGAATAGTAGATGCAGAGTGGACATCCTCCTTCTAAGAGCCTCTGACCATCCAGACAAGTGGCTCATCTAGCTTTCACTGGAAGGTCTCCAATTCAGTGAACTCACTTCCTTCCCACTCCCATGCCAGGCCCATTCCATTGTTGAACAGTTTTTCCTTATGGTAAGCTGAAATCTGCTTCCTTGTAATTTTTTTTCATTAGGTTATAGATTTAGAGCTAAAGGGGACCTATCTAGCTCAACCATTCATATTTTACAGATGAGGAAACTGAGGTCCAGAGGGTTTATTTGCCCAACATCACACACAGCATCAGAGGCAGGATTGGAACCCAGATTCTCTCACTCCAGGGACAGTGATCTTCTGAATATACTACACTGCTTCCTTTCTATCTGTCATCTCTAGTCCAAGACTATTTCTACTACATAATGATAATAAAAGCAAGGCATAGGGGCATTGAGGGTGAGAAGAGTGACTCTGGAGAAAGAGAAAGGCAGAGATAAGGAGGGGCAAGAGATTAGCTGTCTCCAGTCCCAGACACTGGGGGTTGCCACCTACTACAATCTGGTATTGGCAGGTCATACCCCTTCCTAAGCCTCAGTTTTCTCAGCATTCTAATAGGGCTTTGAATGAGGAAGAGGAGATATGCATCCTAATGACAGGAGCATTGTGAAGGAGGGGTCCGTTTGAAACATCTGAAATAAAATCATTAAAGAATTAAGAGACAGAATGCTAGAGCACCTTTCCTTTATCCTTTAATCTCTTTCTCTTCCCTCCTTCTTCCTCTATTCCTCCTTTTCTTTCTCCACCTCCTTTTCTCCTTCTCTTTATCCTTTCTGCTTTTCTCTTCCTCTCTTCTTCCTTCCTCCCTCCTTTTCTTTCTCTACCTCCTTTCCCCCTTCTCCTCTCTTTCCTTTTCTTCTTTTTCCCTTTTTCTCTTCTTCTTCCTCTTCCCCTCCTCTCTACTTTCTTTTCTTTCCCTTCTCACTCATCCTCCTTGGCTTCCTTATCCTGCTCATCTTCCTTCTTCTTCCTCTTCTTCCCTGTTCCCTCTGTTCTTTTCCTCTCTGGCTCTCACTGTTCTCTGACTCCTCCCCTATCCGGTCCCCCAGGCATCCTCCCTGCTCTAGCCCCCTCCTTAAACATTTCCCTCTCCTCCCTCTCCTGTCACAGTTTCTGAACTGGTTCAACCAGCTACAACCCCAGATCCCTGACTCTCAGGTTCCCTGGCCTCCCCTCCCACCTCAGGCCTTAACCAGAGTGGGAGGGGAGCACCTGGAGAGGGGGGCGTTTTCCCCCACCCGATCTCCCCGCCCCTCGTCAGTTCGATGGAGTGGCCTGTACCCCAGATGACCTGGGTGCGATTCCTCCTCTGGTTCTTAGGTGAGTTTGGTCTCTTCCCTTGGAATGGAGAGAACATGGGGATGGGGGATAAGAAGGGAATACTAGAGAAAGACCCCTAGGAGTCTCTGAGAACATGACAGTTCCCTTTACTGTTTGGGATGGGGGAGGGACTGGCACAGCTTGAGGGGAAGGAAAAAGAGGAGTGTCTGGTGTCTAAACTCTCAAGGTCATTGAAGAGGAGGATCTTTTGTGGTAGTAGGGTGATACCCACAGAAGTCTGAGGATGGGTATGGGGGAAAATCTGAAGGAACAACTTGGGAAGAATAGGGCAGGAAATGGAGGGAGGTCCTGACCTGAGAGGCCTATCATTCTGGGAGAAAACAACCAGAGCTTGTGTGTCCCTGGACCTTTGCCTGGCTTCCTGAGAAATGTGCCCAGACGGCTAGCCCTCACTTTCCTATTTTGCAGAATGGTCTGGGGATTCTATGGGCAGTTCAATGAGTACTCCTTCAGGCCAAGAAGCCTGGGCCCAGAATTCTTGGGCCCTATGGCCTTATGACTTGAGGGCAGTGCCCAGCTTAGCTTCCCCTTCCATCAGTGTGGTCTAATGAGCTGGGTACCGGCCTGGCCTCTGTTAGGCCTCTGAAGACTGATCAATTCTATGCCTACTTCACCACCTTCCCCCCAGCCCCTTTCCTGATATGGATCCAACTATTCCAGAGTCTTACCCCACAGGACCTAGGAGAAAAAAAATCTCCTAGTTTGAGGTCCTAGACCCAGATTTTGGCCCAGAGAACTCTCTTGTTTCTCAATCACCAACTGTCAGTATGGGCCAGGAGGAAGATCTCTAAATCAGGGGTGAGATGACCCAGTTTAAATTCAGGCTCTGCTACTTTTAACCTGTGGAAGTTGGGCACGTAATTTAATGTCCCTGGGCCTCAGTTTCTTCATCTGTGAAATGAAGCAGTCAGACTAGACGACCTACCTCTAAGGTCCCTTCCTGCTCTAATCTATGATTTAATGACTTACCCCATTCCCTCTTTCTTGTCTTTGCTAGTCACTGTCCTGCTCAGCTCCTGAGTTAATCATCTCTTTGATTTACTATTTAACAGATTCTTTATTCTATCAGGTCAGTGTGAGTGGGAGGGGCAGAGATTTCTTTTAGAAAAAAATTATTGATGTATTTTTTTCAGTCTTTTTCCACAATATATTTCCCTTTCCTCTACTCCTTCCCACTCCGATCAAATCCCTCCCTCATAACAAAGAAAACTGAGCTATATCAAGTGCTGACAGAAGTCACAGCACTAACCAGAAATCTCCACTGCCCACTGATTCAACCTTTGGCTGAAGCCATGAGCCAAGATTGTAGGGACATCATCAAATCCTGTCCATTCTCCCTCTACAAGGTCTCTTGCACCTATACTCTTTCCTGTCCAGCCACTCTTTTACCTGTCTCTCTACCCAAAATGGGTCAGTGCCAGCATTGGTCAGAGAACCCAGGTCTCTGCTTTTGGGGGGTAGGGAGCAAATGTATGCATGGGGATTGGGAGAGAGGGCATTCACAGAGGAAACCCCCAACCCAAGACCTGGGAAGGAAGAACAGAATGGAGATTCTGAATTGTAGCCTCTACCTGCCAACCTCAGCTTAAATAAATAGATGAAACATTTATTAAGTGCTTATTATATGCCAGGCACTATAGTGAGTGTTGGAGATACAAACAAAAAAAGGACAGTATTTACCCTTAAGGATCTTGCATTCCAATAAGCTAGAAAAAGTAATAATTGCTAGCATTTATGTAGTGCTTTAAAATTACAAAAGTGTTTTACTTATGTTGTCTCATTTGATTCTCCCAGACAACCCTTGGAGGTAGGTGCTATTATCGTGTCCATTTTTCAGATGAGGAAACTGAGGCAGACAGAGGTTAAGTGACTTGCCTAAGGTCACACAGTTAGTATGTGTTGAAGGGCAGGCAGAACTCAGGTCTTCTTCACTACAGGTCTACCAGTTTACCCATTGTGCCACCCAGTTGCCTAAGCCTCAACTAATCTCACATTGGAGATTCTACAAGTTTTTTTTTTCCATTAGACACTTCCAGAAACAGACTCTAGATTAATTATAACACACCCACAGGATACATGCAGCTACCCACATCCAAACATGCATATGTGTACACACATAGAGGTAGACAGTCATATGGACTCAGCACAGAGCACATACGCACCCATATACACACAAATACACACAATCCCATATACTATATGGCCACGAATATACTTGTTCATGTACACATCTGCTCTCTCCTCCACTTCACCCACTAGACTCGCATGCGCGCGCGCGCGCGCACACACACACACACACACACACACACACACACACACACACACACACAGTCCAAGGAGTCTGAAGGAAATGTTAAAACTGTCCCCCCAAGAAAACAGCTGCACAAACCATTCTGAACAAGATTTCCGCTTGGGGATCAGCAGGAGAGGGAAAATCCAATGGAAACTAAAGCTGCTCTCTTTCCTGCTATTGTCCAGACACTCGCTCCCCATCCCTGGCCCTCATATCGCATCCCCAGGCTCCTCTCTGTCCTCAGGGAACTGACCTATTTTTAACTATAGAGCTGGCAGGACCCTACGTGTCCCCTCTGATTTCAACCTCCTCCCCTCACTTAAACTGGAGAGCTCTGGGGTTTCCTTTTATGGTCTCTCTCCTGAAAAGTAAGGCTCACAAGCCCTGTGAGTGTGTGCATATCTCTGTCATGCCTTGCAATTGTGTGCTTGTGCCTATGGTATACATGCTGATCGATCGATCAACAAGCTTTTAATAAATACTTACCATATGAACCAGTGTAATCGAAAGGATTACTTATTGCGCAGGTTCAGTTGTGGTTCGGATCTCAAGATATAATGACACGTACTCAGGATAAACTTCACAGATAATCACATTTATTTACAATGATTAATAATGATTAAAAACCATACAAGCAATAAAGATAGGAATAACATTCAATGCAATAAGTAATAATCAACATTGAGGAAAGAGGGAATAAGAAAAGAAAGGATACACACTCACTGACCAGGCGAGCTCAAATACCCATAGAACTGGGGAGACTGGAGATGGCCCAATGGATCTGGTCAGGGAGGCCATGGACACAACGGAGACCGTGCACGCAAGTCGGTGTCCCTATCTCTGCATCAAAGGACTCCAAAATCTCCCTTTCAAATGACCCCTTTTATAATTATGTAAATCAGGGAAAGAGAATCTTAGCATTTTGTTTTGTGTATGTCTCCTTGGTGAGCCCTCATGTCCAGGCACTCACACATCTCTAACAAAAGTTGGGGCTTGATCAGAGCCCCAAATACCTGTTTGTTGTGTAAATCTCCAAGGAGTGATCAATTCCTTGGACAGTTACACACCTTTCTCAAGAAAAATGTTCCCTGAGATAAATTGCTTTCCCAGGTAACGTAGCTTGTTGGTTATTTACTGTTTCATCTCCATGGTCAGCTCCAGCCATGCATGGTAACTCCCATTTATCTTTATGTCAGGTCATGAGGCAGTTACACAGGGGACTGGGGACTATCTATCCTCCTCAGTTTCCCTTACAACCAGACACTATGGTACTAGGGATTCAAAGAAATGTGAAATCAGTCTCTTCCCTCAAGAAGCCTACATTCAAATGGAGGAGACAACAAGAAAATGAATAGGCACACCCATACAGAATAAATGAAAGATAACCTGGCCAGGAGAGGGAGATGGTCGGACCAGGAATGGCCCCATGGAGAAGGTGGCATTTGAGATGAATCTGAAAGAAAACCAGGGATTCTAATATGTGAAGGTGACAAACCAGGGATTCCAAGCATGGGCACAGCCAGTGCAGCACAGAGAGGAAATGGCGTATGGTGTGCAAGGAACAAAATATATGTATTTGTGTCTGAGTGTGTGTCTGAGCACAGGTGCTAACATAAAATATATCCAACCTCATGTGTGTGTGTGTGTGTGTGTGTGTGTGTATCTATGTGCAAAGAGCCCTGTATGTTTTTATTTGAAAAAGAGACCTCAGGAGGGGGAGACATTCTGGCCTTTGCCATCGGAATAGTACACAAGCAAGGGGGGAAACTAGAAACATTGGACAGTGGGTGTTGGAGGAGGACAGAGGAGAAAGAGATCAGTGTGGAGTGGAACAGGAAGAAAGGGCTTCCTTTCTGCAGCTGGCTCTTAAAGGACAGATAGGCTTTGGAAAGCTTGAGAAGAGCAGAGAGGCCATTATAGAGAAAGCCAAGGTATTGGAAGTAGGTATGATATCTATGTAGGAGACAGTGAGGGGACCAGAGGGATGTTAGGGAAGAGGGAGAGGTGAATTTGGACTAATGAGTGCCTCTGTGGGTATGTAGTGGATAATATGCCTGTGCCCCTCTATGTTTGAGAAGAAGGAGGAGGAGGAGGAAGAAGAGGGAGAGGAGGAGGAAGAAGAAGAAGTAGTTGGCATTTATACGATGCTTTAAAGTTTGCAAAACACTTTACAAATATTATTTTCTCATCATAATAATGCTGGCAGGTAGATACTTTTATTATCTCCCTTTGACAGGTGAGGAAACTCAGAAAGCCAGAAGTTAAGTGACTTGCCCAGAGTCACACGCTAATAAGTATGTAAGGACAGGATCTGAACTCAGGTTTTCCTAATTCCAGGTCCTACACTCTATTCATTGCACCACTAAGCTGTCTAGATCATAATGGATATCATTATCAACAACCACTCATGGAATCAAGAGCCCTGTGCTCTGGGTGTTGGGTCACACAAAGATGAACAAGATAGGGTCCCTTTCCTGAATATGCATGTGATCTAGACAAGGAAACTGGTATCAATGGTCAGGTGCTAAATGGATTTTTAAGGAGGTCCGAGAAGGAAAAATAAGTCATTATGGGCTGGATGGGGTGGTCAGGGAGGAAGTGGGACTTGAACTGGACCTTGAACTTTACAGGGACACACTGAGACCTCAGGTCATCAGTCCTCTAACCATCTACCTATCAGTCCATCTATCTGTTTATTCATGCCCCCATCCCCAGTCACATTTTAGGTCTCTCTTTCTTACCAAATAGTAATAGGTCTCCCATATTTTTTTCTCCTCTTGCTCTGCAGGTTCCTGGGCTGAGGCCTTTCTGATCCACAATCCTGGGCTGGATGCATGCCTGCAGGTGGACCCCCAGGGTGGGGAGCAGATCTCACTGGTCACTTGCCACCCTGATGCTGGACCCCAGCAATGGGGCTGGGACCCAGTCAACCGAGCCCTTTTCAGCCTGCATGTCCCTGGGTGCCTCGCCATAGGTGAGGCCCAGGAATTTGCTGTGGCCCAATTGAGCCACTGTGGGGGCCAACTCCACCAGACCTGGGGTTGCTCCCGTAAGGGTCACTTGAGCTTGCAGGGCCTTGGTCTCCACCTCCACGGAAAGCTGAATGCCCAGGAAATCTTTGTTCTTCGTCGGAAGGACAAGTTCAGTCGTTGGAAGACAGTGCCTGGAATGGCCAATGTCTGCTCTGGTACCCCTGGGCCAAGGGGCACAGACAAGAGTCCTGAGAAGGAGCCAATCAGACACAGAGGTGAGAGCTGTGGTAAGACCCACCTAATGGGCATGTTCTTGTGGAAGGGTGGTGAAGTGGAAAGCACATGCCTCCATCTGGGAGTTAAGAGATCTGGTTTGAGTCGAGTCAACAGGAATTTACTATGTGTCAGGCATGTTGCTAAGTGCTGGGAATACAAAGAAAGGCAAAAGACAGTCCCTGCTCTCAAGGACCGTCACAATCTAATGGAGGAGAGGACATATAAACAACCATGTACAAATGAGATTTCTGCAGGAGGCATAGGAGAGAAGCAACAGAAGAAAGACACTGAAATTAAGGGGGATTGAGAAAGGCTTCGTGTAGATGGGGGATTTTCTTTGGGATTTGAAGGAAGCCAGGACAGTCAAGCTATGAGGACAGAGAGAATTCTAGACATACTAACTAGTCTCAGTCCCTCATCATCCAAATGACCTTGAGCATATGGATTCATTGCTTGGAGCCTTAGCTACTTCATCTGTAAAATAAGAATAAAAATACTTACACGATGTACCTCACAGAGAGCATTCTATAGAAGTAAAAAATTATTAGATTATGGGGAATAGGTCTGGCTCTCTGCACAAGGGGACCAGGGCAGCTGATTATACTGTGTGATCTGAAGGCCACTAGGAAACCTTCCCTGCTCTCAAATAAACCTCCAACCAGCTGTTACTGTGCTTTGAAATTCTAAAGCTTCATTTCTCTGTGTCTTGGGGCATTTTGCTGTTTCAGAGTTCCTCATTTAAATGTGGTTATCTCTGAAATGAAGAACACTTTTTAAAAATTGATATGTTTTGCTTTTATGTCCCTTCCAACTCTCAAATTCTGTGATTCCTTTCCAAATGTATTCCCCCTCTCTTCTGTACCTGAAGTTATCCCTTGTAACAAAGGATAAGAAAAAAAAAACAGCTCAGCAAAAACGATTTCATCTATAATCTGAGACTGACGGAACATGCAACCTAGCTCCCCCATTCTCTTCTTTTCCAGGGCCAAACTTCTTGTCATGAAAATTACAATACCTAGTCTTAATTACTGAATGGGCTTTGCCTCAGTCAAACTAAGACCTGCTAAGAACCCTAACTTTAAAAGGCTAAGGTCTTCCACTGCATCTAGGGCCATCTCCAGTCATCCTGATAGGTATCTGGCCACTGGACCCAGATGGTTCTGGAAGAGAAAGTGACTCTGGTGACTTTGCACAGCCCTCCCTTAAATCCAATTAGCTTGCATGTCATGGCATCACCTCCCTGTCAAGAATGAAGGACAAATAACAACAAATCATGAAGTTTTTCTTTTCGTCATTAGATGGCAGAATGGATAGAGCACTAGACCTGCAGTCAGGAAGACCTGAGTTCAAATCCTGCCTTTGAAACTTACAAGCTATGTGACCCTAGGCAAGTCACATAACCTCTCTGAGCCTCAGTTTCTTCATCTATAAAATGGGGGTAATAATATCACCTAGCTCACAGACTAAATGATATAGGTTTAATAGATGGACTGTTCAATATAAGCCTGTAGATCGCATTTTGTGATTTGCATGTAGAATGCATATATAGCTAGATCTGGAATGTCCTATACCCCACTTCTACTTTGTGGAGAGTTGGAGGATAGCCATGAATGGGCAATCATTACTTCCCTCCCCTATTTTCAAGAGGGGTGTTGTGCTAGAATTACATCAAAATAAAAAATAAAATATCATCAGATATTTGCAGCATAGAGGGCATGCAAATGAATCCCTCTTTTTGAGGCGTTCAGCATAAAAGCCACTTTCCCAGGTCACTCTGGGATGTGGGAGGGAAATAGTCCTGCCCCAGACCTGGAGAATAACAGTTAGCTTAATTTCAGCCAGTTTAGCTTCCCTTCCACAAAACCCTTAGCATCCAAAAGGCAATCATGAATAGGGAATGATAATTAATCAAAGTAAGAAAGTAAAACAGTCATACAGATTGGTTTAGGTGATAGAATCCACAAGAGTCAGGAGGCTCTGTGGTCTGGGAGCAAACTGAAATCTCAGTTCTACCAGCCATAAAATGACCTCACTGAAGAAACTCGCTCTTAGCCATGTCTGGAGTAGGAGAGTGCAGGTAACCAAGGCCATATTGGGGTACCAGCTTCTCTCCACATACCTATGGCTTTGGGGGGGCCTCCCATTCACCATTAAAAGTCCATGCCTTCTCCTCTCTCCCACCTCATCTTTCTCTCCCTTTCTCCATTTTTCTTCTCCTATGCAAGAGTGGAGAACTGGAGATTTGCCCCAGGGCACTGACATGGTGGGAGGTGGTAGGCCTCATGAACCTCAGCCCAGTAGTAGGGAGGGAAACTCTAGGTCCCCAGTGGGTCAGTTCTGGGATAAGGAGCAGGTAGGGATAGAGTCTGGGGAAAGGTACAACTTCTCTGGAACATGTGGGGTCCTGGCAGCCTGGGGATGAGCAGTACAGAGGGTACAGCACACCCCACTCACCCCACTTCCTGCATGAAAAGAAAAAGTGCTTCAGTACATTCAGTCAATCAAAAAGTATTTGTTTACTATGTGCCAGACACAATGCTAAGTGTTGGGGATACAATGAAAGGCAAAAACACAGTACCTAGCCTCAAAGTGCTTCCATTATGATTCAGGAGACAACATGCAAATAATTAGGTCCGTACTACATAGACAAAATAGAAGGAAGGTGATCTCAGAGGGAAAGTGCTAGCATCTCATAGGACTGAGAAAGGTCTCCTGCAGACGGTTGCTTTTGAGCTTTGTCTTGAAGGAAACTAAGAGACAGAGGTCAGAGGAAAGAGCATTCCAGGAAGTGGCGGCAGCAAAATTCCCAGGCAACCTGGGAACAAAAAAAGCAGTGGTGCTGGCAAGCCATCTTTGGAACAGGATTTTCTCTTGGAGAGGGGACCCTTCAGAGACACCCTAGCCTTTTGGGGACAGGGGTCGGGCTAATTCTGGAAGGGAGAAATTCTTCTCTAGACATTGTAGCTGACCTCTGACGGTGCAAGAGTAGAATGGAATGGTGTTGTTCATCACTGCATTCCCATGGCCTAGCTCTTTTTTGACAGTTCAGATCTATGGCTTAATCAGTGTAGGGGACTTCTGGAGTAGAAACTCTCTTCACTGATGTGGAGAAGCAATTCATGGCAATTTGTAGCCTTAGCCAGATTATAGAAGGCCTTAAATGGCAGGTTAGTGAGCTTGCATTTTAGCCTATAGATAAGAGAGAGCCAATGAAGATTTTGGGGCAGGGAATTAACATGGTCATACCTATGCCTTAGGAAGAGGATTGTTAGCAGCGTTGTGAAGGATGGATTAGAAAGGAGAGACTGGAGACAGAAAGAATAGTTATCAGAAGCTTTTACAATAATCCAGTCAAAAAGCAGTAAGTAAGGATAAGTGAGGAGACAGAAGGGGACCTGTACAAGATGGAAGTAGGATTGAATGGACCTGGAATCTGACTGGATGGGAAGAGGAAGTCAGTGAAGACTAAGGATGAAGTGCATGCCAAGGGAGTAGTATCAGTAGTAGAATTATGGAAGCTGGGAGGAGGGGCAGTTTTCTTTTTTCATTTGGGAGAGTGAAGAGGTTAAGTTCAATCTTGGACATGTTGAATTTGAGGTCCTGGTGGGACACCCAAGAGGTTCAGCAGGCAGCTTCAGAATCAGGGCTGGAGCTCAGGTAAGACACTAGGAATGGATATATAGACATTTGCTCACCAGAGGTTGCTTGCTGTTTGTCCTTTGTTCTCGAAGAGGACCATGACATCAGGGAGGCGATACCACGACATGGAAGTGAATTGGATTTAAATGAAGGAAGGCTGTGCAAAGTCATCAGCCTCACTCTCTCCTCTGGGGCCCTCTGGGTCCAGTGGCCAGATATGGATCAGGACAATTGGAGATGGCCCAGAATGCAGCGGGGCCCCTTGGTCTTTTCAAGCTAACATCTTTAACAGGTCTCAGTTTGACTGAGGCAGCACCCTTTCAGTGATTAAGGCTTAATAAAAAACCGTAGACATTTGAAGTCTTAGTGGGACACTCAAGTTCAGTAGGCAGCTGCAGAATCAGGGCTGGAGGTCAGGTAAGAGAGCAGGAATGGATATGTAGATATTTGCGTAGAAGTGATCTTTGAATTCAGGGGAGCTGGGGAGATCTCCAAAATAAAAAGGATAGGAAAATGAGACTGAGGAGACTGGGGGTGGGAGAAGAACAGAGCCCCAAAGGAGACCTAAAACTCCCTGCAGCAGGTATTTTTGATTTTATTTTTGTTTTGTTTAGGCAATTGGGGTTAAGTGACTTGCCCAGAGTCACACAGCTAGTAAGTGTCAAGTATCTGAGACCAGATTTGAACTCAGGTCCTCCTGACTCTGAGGCTGGAGCTCTATCCACTGAGCCACTTAGCTGCCCCTGAGGAAATGTTTTTGAGCTGTGATTCTACCTGCCTGTATAAAGTATATATATATTATATAAAGTATGTATATGTATATATATGTACTTTATATATAGTGACTATATATATGTATGTATATATGTATGTATATGTATATATATGTACTTTATATATAGTGACTATATATATGTATGTATATATGTATGTATATGTATAGTGACAATCTCCACCACTTATACCTGTCCCCTTCCCCAGCTGAAACCACTGTTCCTCTGGAGCGAAATGAGGAGGACCTGTCTTTGTGGGACTCTGTACAAACAGCAAATGTCACTCCCACCAGCAACCTCACCCACACACCTTCCCCAACATGGGTGGAAGGAGCCCTGGTGGCAGAAACAGGTGAGTACTTCTGTTTCCATGCCCCATCTACAACCTGGATCATAAGAAGTTTGTGTGACTTTGGGACCTTTACGTGATACACTTACTGCTTTCTGAATCATTGCATCCTGGGTGTGTCTAACTGGGGGTGCATCCTAACCTTCCCTGGGACATGTAGTGTTCCTTCCTTTCCAGAGCATGAATTCAGGGTATGAGGGCTGGTACACAGTGACTAGAGAAGATAGTGCTGAGATCCCGAAATGGAAGACTCAGATTAAATTCCCATACAGACCAGTAAGTATCACAGAGATAAAAGCAAACAGAACCATTGTGCTGCCAGCCCCAAATGACAGAGGGTAGGCAAGCATCTACATAAGTCTGGGTATGTGATTTTCTGTACATGTGCATATGACATTTGCTAAATTTTTAAATGTTTTCTTTGTCAAGAGATTATTTCCTCCTGGCACTCAGGGTCTATAATTCAGGGAGCCACCACCAGGTAATAGGTGGTGACTTCTTAGGGTAAAGCAAATAAGAGTGTTCTCTTCATGCCCTGCTGTTTGGGGAGCTTCAAGGCTTACAATGGAGGATGAGGGAGGCAGCAAGCAGCTAGCAATTAAAAGATATAGCTGGGGCAGCTAGGTGGCGCAGTGGATAGAGCACTGGCCCTGGAGTCAGGAGGACCTTAACTAGCTGTGTGACCCTGGGCAAGTCACTTGCCTAGCCCCCCTCCCCCCAAAAAAGAAAAAAAGATGTAGCTGCTAGGGCCTCCTTAGACATTATCAGACTTATTTAGTAGTAAGGACCAGATGCTATCAAACATTCATTCTTACCTACTGTATGTCTGCACAGCACCCAACACTGTGAGACAACGCCCACACTCTCAGAGAGCTGGTGCCTCTTTCCCCTTAGCTCTTCTTTTGTGGGCCCTAACATTTCCTAGTTTAAAGGCTGGGTGTAGATTTATCCTTGGCTCAGGATTCTTGGCTCAGCCATAATCCAGTGGTCTCATTCCATCTGATACCTCACTGACTATGATTCATTGATTTACTTACAAAACTTGTTGTATAAAACATTAATCAGAATCAATGAGGAATGAATAAGGTAGGCAACCTTAATTCAACCAGCTTAAGCGTCTCCCTCCAGGCCATGATCCTGCCTGATAGTCAAGTCAAAAAGTCCAGAACCTCATTTCCCCTCCCATCTGCTCCCGTGCAGCTCCCCTTAGATAAAAATCTCCTAGAGCATCAGGGTCCAGTCTCTTGGGGTGACTCATGGACTCAGAGCACTTCTGATCTCTCTATTGAAACAGTGCAGGTTTTACAGACAGACTGTGTGGCACTGACCTATCATATGAGTGACCACTGCAAGTTCCCTGTCACTGTACCCAGCTGCTCCTTGCTAATCTGAAGCTTTGCTCAGCATCCACATTGCTGCCCTCCACCCCCACCCCAGCACAAATCCAGGAGGGAGGCATACGGCTGCCAGTTGTGCCCACATGGATGTGACCCAACAATCATAAATAAATCAACAAGCCCTGTACTACGTGCCAGGCATTGTAGTAGGCACTGGGGATACAAATACAAAGAATGAAATAATCTCTGCTCTCAAGGAGTTTATATTCTAACAGGAAGATAATTTAGCATCTACAGTGACAGGAGCAATTGCTATGGCTTAAGGAGACATTCTGTCTTTGTCTCTTTCACCTTCAAAACTCTCCACTGTGGTTCCTTTGTTACTCTTGCTCTAATCCTCCCTTTTGTGTCTTCTAGTCACCTTGTCTTCATGTCACCTTAATTTATCACTTGACAAGAGTGCATTGGGAAGCATAGCCATACTCACAATAAAACTATAATTGCCATCACTGTGTGGACTCTCCCCTCCACCCCCCTCTGCCCAAAACCCTTTTAAGTCCCACAAGCTTCCTAGTGTCCCTTAGAACACACCCTCCCCAGTAACATTTCTACCTCCCTTCTTGGCTCTGTCAAGGCTGTGTCTGATATACATTATTATTAGATTTCATTTATTTAAATTGTTTGGTCTGGAAAGTGTAATCCTGTGCAATGTAATGCCCTTCCTTCTTTCCTTCCTTCCTTCCTTCTTTCTTTCTTTCTCTTTCTTTTTCTTTCTCTCTCTCTCTTTCTTTCTTTCTCTCTCTCTCTCTCTTTCTCTTTCTTTTTCTTTCTTTTCCTTCCTTCCTCTTTCTTTCTCTTTCTTTCTTTCTTTCTTTCTTTCTTTCTTTCTTTCTTTCTTTCTTTCTTTCTTTCTTTCTTTCTTTCTTTCTTTCTTTCTTTCTTTCTTTCTATTTCATGAGTTCCACACACTCCTTGGATAGCCATGACGCCCAGCCATATCTTTGCGATCCTAAAAATTAGCTTTCTCATAAGTATGGATAAGCCCAGGCCACGTGTTAGCTCACACTTCCATCCTACTCCATTCAACAAACATTTATTAAGTACCTACACAGGGGTGGGGAATCTGCAGGCTTGAGCCCACATGTGGCCCTCTAGGCCCTCAAGTGTGGCCTTTTGACTGAATCCAAACTTCACAGAACAAATCTCATTAATAAAAGGATTTGTTCTGTAAAACTTGGACTCAGTCAAAGGGCCATACCTAAGGACCTAGAGGGCCACATGTAGCCTCGAGGCTGCAGGCTCCCCACTCCAGACCTACTATGTGCAAGGTATTATGATAGTTACTGAGGCTACAATTAAACAGTCCCTGCCCTTGAGGAATTTACATTCTCCCAGGGGAATACAATACATATAAAATAATAATAATAGCATTTATGTTTACAAAATGCTTTCAAATATTATCTCATTATATCCTCATAAGTACCCTGGAAGGTAGGTGTTATTATTTTTCCTATTTGACAGATGAGGAAGCTGAAGTGAACAGAGGTTAAGTGACTTGCCCAGAGTCACATAGCTAGTAAGTATCTAAGGCTGGATTTGAACTCAGGCCTTCCTGACTCCAGAACCAGTGCTCTATCCACTGCACCACCTAGCTGCCCCTACAGTTGTTTTTTCAGTCATGTCTGAGTCTTCATGACTCCATCTGGGGTTTTCTCAGTAAAGATACTGGAGTGGTTTGCTGTTTCTTTCTCTAGCTTATTTTACAGATGAAGAAACAGATGCAAACAGGGATAAATGACTTGCCCAGGGACACACAGCTAGTAAGTGTCTGAGACCAGGTTTAAACTCACAAAGATGATTCTGCTCTCTATCCACTGAAACACCTAGCTGCCCAGAATGAAAAGTGGTTCCCTGGAAAAAGTGCTAGTAGGTGTGGTGTGATTATGAGAATGTCCCTTTCAGCTTTCTGTACCTGTTTCCTTATCTGCAAAATGAAGGATTTGGACTAGATGACCTCTAAGGTCCCTTCTTGAAATCAGGAAGACCTGAATTCAGACACTAGCTGTGTGACCCTGGGCAAGTCACTTAACTTCTGTTTGCCTTAATCCACTGGAGAAGGAAATGGCAAAGCACTCCAGTACCTTTGCCAAAACCCCATGGACGGTATGGTCTGTGGGATCACTCGAACACGACTGAAAGACTACCCAACCAAAACAACAACAAGGTCCCTTCCAGATCTAAATCTCTGATCCTCGGAGTCTTTATGACTGCAGACTTCAGAGGACAAAACCTCTACTAGCAAAGAGGTGACGCTTCCTTTTATCAAGGTTTGTCCTAGGAGAGTAGATGGTGGTCCTGAAAGGAGGGGTCTGGCCCATGTGGGTGGATGAGAACTACATTCCAGGTTCAGCAAGGCAAACAATGATCCTCCATGCTTTTCTGTACTCTGATAGATGAAGACTGCTGTAGTCAATGGCTTGGTTTGCTCTTTCTTGGTGTGGGAGGAAGCTTCACTCTATGTGGTGTGAAGGGGTTATATGAAAGGATGCACTGATGTGTGGAGCACTGAGAAATCCCTCCTCCCAGTCCCCAAACTTCTTTCCAACTGATGTGTCCAGTTCCCAAGAATTCCACTATTAGAGCTTCATTCTGTTGGATTAAGGCATTATCTTTCCAGCAACTACAAATGCCCTGAAAGGACAGACACATTATTTATCATTACTGTGTGAACTTAAAACAAGTTTCTTATATCTCTTCCAATTTCATTGTGAGTGTTGAGAGCAAGGACTGATGGGATGAGGGAAATGATCCCATCAGAACTCAGAGGCAGTAAATTTTGGTGATGCTGGGATTGTAAGGCAGTGGAAGGGCAAGAGGAGGGCTCTGGATTACCACAAAGGGGAAGAAGGCATTTCAAGAGAAGATTAAAGGAGTCAAGGGAATATTTTGCCATCCTTGAACTTTTGCCATGGGTCACCCCTGGGACAGGAAGGTTTCATCCACTCTTCCCCAACATTTGTTAATAGACTTCCAATTTCAGGGGCAAACTGGAAGATAGCTATGATGGTCCTGAGCCCACTGGCTGTTGTCCTGGGAGTCACCATCCTCATCATCAATATCTGTTATAACAGGTAAGTGTTTTCAATGCAGCTTGCACCTTTCTTCACCCAACATACACATTCTTTGTGATCCTGGGCAAGTCATCTTATTCATCTGGGGCTTGCTTTCCTCATTAGTGAAATGATGGGATTCGGCTAGATAATCGATAAAATCCCTTCCAGCATTATGTTAGTCAGGCATTCCCTAGCAGAGAGCAGTACCCTGAAGGCATGGGGCACCAGACACCAGGCATTAAGGAGGGTGAGGCCTGGAAAGGGCACTGTTTCTGAGGAAGGGAGGAATGATCAGTGAGGAGGGTAGCATGGAGGAACTGGACGGCTCATAGCCATTTGGAGTAAGTGCACAAGTGCTCATGGCCATTGGGAGGGCAGGAAGTAGTTCCAAGCAGAGACAGCAGCTCCCATGGAAGTGATGAGCTCTTCTGCAATCGGCCTTTGAGGCTTTCCAAAGCAGTGGGGTTTCAGCTACCGCTGAAAGGACAGGGAGACATGGCTTGGGGCCCTCCCTCCCTCCAAGGTCTTCTTTTCTGGAGGCTGCTCCCAGCCGGCCCACCTCTCAGAAAAACCATGACCAAAAAAATTTTTACATAACACCTTATGGTTGACAAGACACATTACACAGAACCATCTAATTTTATGTATTCAACAACCCTTCTAGGTAGATGCTACAGGTATTTTCATCTCCATTTTATAGATAAAGAAACTGAGTCTTAGAAAGGTTAGGCAAATTTCTCAGGGAACTAAGTGGTACAAGATAGAGTGCTGTGCCTAGAACTAGGAAGATCTGAGTTCAGATACTGACTCATGGGGCAGCTAGGTGGTGCAGTGGATAGAGCAACAGCCCTGGAGTCAGGAGGACCTGAGTTCAAATCTGGCATCAGACATATAACAGTTACTAGCTGTGTAACTCTGGGCAAGTCACTTAACCCCAGTTGCCTCATCAAAAAAATAAAAAATAAAAATACTGACTCATTTACCAGTTAGGTGACCTTTGACAAGTCACTAAACCTCTCTCAGCCTCAGTTTCCTCATCCTTTAAAATGGGTATAAAATAGCCTCTACCTCCCAGGATTGTTGTGAGGATGAGATATTTGTAAAGTTATATATATACACACACACACACACACACACATATATATATATATATATATATATATATATGTATATCATTCTATATATTAAAGCACTATATAAGTGCTACCTATTATTACTACTGCGCAAAGCCACAAAGCCTGTACAGGCACAGAAGTTAGATTTTAACCCAGGCCTGAACAACCAATTTCACAACCCACTATACCACACAGTTTTCTCCAAACTAAATTCTTACGAATTTCTGTCACTCTAGGTCAGGATGAATGCATCACCCTAATGAGAAGCAATGGAAAGAGTGCTAGATTTTGAACCAGAGGCCCTGGATTCAAATCCTGGCTCTACCATATACTAGTTAGGTGACCTTGGGCAAGCCATCTAATTGCTCCGGGACTCAGTTTCGTTGTCTGTAAAATGAGAAAGAATGAGTAGAATTAGATGATAGCTTCTATGTATTAGCAGAGAGGGTTGAAGTCTCTGGCAGAGATGAATAACCAATTTCCTTTGTTCTCTTCCCTGACCTGCAGGAAGAAGAAAAAGAAGGCTCTGTCAGCCCTAGAGAACTATTCCCAGAATGGTCCAAGGGCCACATTACTACCTAGGGGGGAGCTATCCCTAGGCCAGGGAGGCCCAGGAGCTCCCAATTTACCTGTCTCCCTTTCCTCATCCCTACAGCATGGGGAGATACTCATTGAGTGGAAAGATGGCAGCATTACCCCGCTCTTTGCCAGCCCTGGTAATCTGAATTAGACCAATCTGCATCTTTTAAGGGCCTGCTCTGTGCCCAGTCCTGATCCTGCCATGAGGGACAGAGAAGGCACAGGCCCTTGAGCTTATCAGATCTGTGCTTTCACCTCAGACCTATGTCCTCCTCCTGGGAGACAGAGAAATCACAGACTCTAGAATTTATTAGCCCTGGTCTTCATCTTAGACCTGTGTTCACCCTCTGGAAATTTCTTTGTATATATTTTTTGTAATTAATTTTTTTATGTACATATAATTTTTTCCAAAAGAATATAAGCTCTTTGGAGGCAGAGACTCTTTCATTTGTTAAAATATTCTTATTTTTATTGAAACCTTGTTTGTACTTTATTTCCAAATATATTTCTCCCCGTTTTCCTGCCTAGAAAGCCATTCCTTATAAGATTTTAAGGAGGGAGAAAAAAAAAAAGCAGTTCAGCAAAACTAGCCAACACATCTATTATAACTACGAGTAGATACAATATTCTACATTACAATCCTTCTACCTCAGGGCAAGCCTTGTTTCAATTGTTTTTTAATCTTCATGTCCTCAGCTTTTAAAATGATACCTGCCATATCAGCTGTTTAGCTTAATAAATTGTAGTTGAAATGGATTATAATTCAGCTGACCTCCCACAAGACTCATTCATGACACGCTTTACAATCAATCAGTGCAGGACACATGTAGCACGGTAGTGGAGAGAACACTAAGCTTGGAGTCAGCAAGTCCTGGGTTCAAGTCCCACATCAGACACTTATTAGCTGTGACCCTGAAAGAGGTTTTCTCATGGACTCCATAGCTTCTAAGGTCCCTTCTATATCTTAAGTATCTGATTAAAATACTAAACTATCCTTTGTTTATGAAGCTGATCCCAGGGCCTTAGGAAGGGAGAAGTCACGTCTGAGAATTCTATGGGTAACTAAGCAGTCAATGGAGCTGTGGTTGTAGGACTTGCTGTTAAGACGACTCCATTTTTCTGAGTCTTGCTGTCTTCACCTATAAAACAAAATAATCTATAAGCTCTCTTAATGCTCTAAGATTCTAGGATAGCTCTCCCTCAGAAAGATGGACAAGTATTGTCCAAAAAATTGGAGAGCATCTTGGGTCTGTCCAGAATGGCTCAAGTTTCTTCCCTGCCCTAGCAGGAAAATGTGACAATAAGTAGTTTCCTCTTTTTGCTCAAATGACTAACTCCCAACATTCACCTAAAACAATGCCATGATTACTGGATCATCTTGGAGCACTGTGCCTTCAATCCAGCAGCATTTTCCTTGCCTGGGACATCTGAGTATGGGTTGCTTTCATTCACTACAAGGAAGGAAGGTGCCAAGTTTCTCCTTCTCTGAATGAATGAAAAAACATATTAAGTATTTCCTATGTGCCTGGCCCTACATTAACCTCCAGGGATACAAATACAAAAAAAAAAATCCCAAAACAAAACAAAACCCCTTGCTCTCAAGGAATTTATAGTCTAATAAGGAAAGAAAACACATAGGGGAATGGTGGTATTTTGGTTAGGGAAATCACAGGGATGATTGGAGTTACAGGGCAAATGACTGAAATGAACTTTCTGAAAATGGTAGTATGGATGACTATTCTCAGAGCTGAAGCTGGAAAACTGGGGGAGGGAGGAAGGGAAAGGTGTCTCTACCGTGGCCTGGGGTGAAGATAGCTGGAAAGTAATCTAGCGGGTGAATCAGCAGCTCAGGGTCTCAGACGGGAGTTGAAGTTTGGGGGGGGGGTGCAGGGAATGCCTTCTTAGCTCCCTATTCACAGAGCAACCGGCTAATAATGAACTTCTTAGTCTCCTGGGGTCTCTAAAAGGATATTTGTTAAACAAATAGTAAGCTGGGCCTGACTGAGCCAAAACTGGGACAAAGGTAAAATTTGTCTTGGCTCTCTCTTCCCTCTCCAATCTAGGGCACCACACTTTTGGAGTCATACAGCCCCTGGAGTGAGTTCACTCATCCCTGCCTCCTCCTCCCCACCCCCTACCCCTTTGACTGTCAACTAATCTCCAAATCAATTATTAATAAATGATAAATGTTTAAGTTGTTCACTTCCACAAGGGTAACTGTACACTAAGAGCAGAGTCTGGATAACCAAAACATCCTGAAGACTCAAAAGAATGACAAAGCATAGGACTTCAGGTTCTGCAAAAGGCAAAGGGGAAGCCTTCTGGGGAAAAGAAGGATGTATTTCTGGCCTCAGTTTCCTTTATCTATAAAATGAAGAGATTATGCTAGGTGATCTCTAACCTCCTATCCAGATCTCACTTTTGTGATTCTTTTATTCTATGGTACTTTCCTTGGCGGTGGAAGACATATTCTCATTCTCAGAGACAGGCTACATTTCACCTGGGCTCCAAGGAATCAAACTTGACCAGAGGATTAAAAAATAAGAGGACATACTAAGATGCCTGACTGGAATTCTACAGACTCAGGTCCAGAACTCTGGGTTGTGGGTCTTCTGGGTCTATCTAAGTTTTGACCCTCTGACCTCAGGGATCCTGCGGTGTGGGTGGAGGACCTGATGGGAGAGCACAAGATCACATAGCCTGGTGCTTTCTAATGAGTACTGTGGCCAATGCCAAGAGCATCCTACTTTAACTTTCCCTAACTCTATACTCACTACCATAGGCTAATAAACCCTAAACACTGAAAAAAACCCCACACTTTTAATTACTAAAAAATGAATGACAACTGAATTTCTAACAGTTTATTCCTCAGATACATGAGCAAAGAGATTTGGCTTTATATATTTCCATATCACTCTTTCATTTCAATACCACGACATCTGCTCTGACCTAAAAAGCTTAGCCTGATTTCATTGGTTGCTTCAGCTTCCCTATACTGCAGGACTGGATAATCTAACCAGGGTGGGGATTGGTCTCAGAAGAGACACCTGAGAACCTCAGTAGGCTGAGTCTTGGGGATCTCAAAAGACCTTCTCTTTCCTGGGGTCAAGGTGTGTTGGAGCAAAGAAATTGGTGCCCTTCTCTGAGGCATGTCACCATATTCTTAAATTGAGCCAGCTTGCAGGCCTCCTCTAGGTTCAGCCAGCGGTAGGCCTGGTGCTCCCCGCAAAGCCGAATTTCCACGTTGTAGTCCTTCACCTCGGCCAGCCAGTAGATAACTGTTTTGGGCTTGCTGTTGACTACATAGTTCAGCTCACTCTTGAATCCTTCAATGATGTTCAGCTGGCTGGCGTCCAGGCCAGCTTCCTCCTGGGTCTCCCTAAAAGCTGTCTCTAAGTCACTCTCTCCTGGGTCCACATGACCTGGTGACAGAAGAGAAGGAAGAAGTTTAAAAAAAGTCTCAAATGGATTCCAAGTGAGGCATTTCCTAATTCAGTTGGTTTAATGAGGGATGCTATTGCCATCTTTGCAGTTTACGGAGACTAATAGCTCACATTCATTTAACGCATTAGACATTACAAAATGCTTTCCCCAAAACAGCCCTGTGAGGAACGATCCAAGTACTCAGAATCAGGTTTGCATGCTCTTTGCACTACACATAGAAATGTTCATATACTTGATTTAAACTGAATTGAAAGGACACTGGACTAGAAGATAGGTACCTGTCCTGCTTCTAAATCACTTCTTGACCCCAACAGACAAATTACTTAACTTCTGTGGGCCTGAGTTTCCTTATATGTAAAATAAAAGAGTTAAAACAGATCGTTTTAACAGGCCCTTTTGTGGTGAAATTCTAGGATTTTTCACAATAAAATTTCACAATAAAATTTTCTTGAGGTTGGCAGCATAGGTCTTATTATCTTCATTTTATAGATTTAAATGACTTGTCCAAGCCCCCACCACTAATAAGGAGCAAAACTAGGGCTCAAACCATGGTCTGCTGATCCAAAGCTAATATTCTTTCCACCATTAGTCTCTACTCTGATGGGGGGGGGGTGTCTTATGACTGCTGGTTCAGCCCTTTCCCCACTATGCCACATTGCATCTGAATAGCAATGGGGTATTTCTTGGCTAAAATGTGTCTAAGATTATTAACTCCCATGTTAAGTCAAAGATGAAGAGAGAGAGAGAGAGAGAGAGAGAGAGAGAGAGAGAGAGAGAGAGAGAGCGAGCTACCACAGACTTTGTACCTTTCTCACGGCACTGATCACGTCTTGCTTTGTGTTACAGTTGTGTCCCACTATCTCAGAACTACTGTGTAAACTCTTTCAGGGCAGGCACTGTGATTTCCCCATCTCTGTAACCCCTCCACACAGCTTAGCAGACGGTCTTGGAATGTATTAGCCATCTAAGAAAAGTCTGTTGAATGGAAGTGAACCAAAACATTTCTCAGACACAATGTTGCTAGTCCTAACTGCTTTGAGTCTCCAACAAACAAGAATCACTTTTCCTCTGGAGAGCTAGATGTATTTTTCAAACAATCTTCAGTCTCCACTTGGCAGAGAGGGAACTAAGGCCCTGAAGAGTTAAGTAATTTACCTTTAGTCAATGGGGAAATGCTGTTGGTACTGGCAACAGACACCGGTAGTCCTGTGGCCAAAGACGCAGCCCCAAACACTGGGCTTTACCATGATAATGACAGCTCTCAAGCAGGTACTAAAAGCATTTTCTAAGTTACTTTTCCTCCTGGGAAAATCTAGATTTAGTATTCACAGGGGAAGTTCTTGTGGGAACACAGACTGTAGCCAAGCTCAGCAGGGCTTAAGTAAAACCACTAGCAAGCAGAGAAGCAAGGGGGGCTGTCAGTGACAGTGGCCCTTTGGAGATGGAGGGTCCTTTCTCACACCATCCTCCCACAAACTCTACCCACTCATGTCTCACCTGGGAGAAAGGATGGTTTTAAAAAAACAGTGCCAATCAGGGATCCTTGGAAGAGTAAAGACATCTACAGCTGCCATTTCTATGCCATGCCACCCAACTCACTCATGCACGATTGGCAGTCATGGGAAGTCCAAGAGCCCAGGGAAGCTTCTCAGGACTTTTGGAGAATGTGCACGGAGAGAAGCTATGCTGACTCCAAAGTCCCGACGTTGAAGATCTGCTAAAGCACATCTAGCTTCCCAACTCTCTGGACCCATTCCTGACCACCTTGTGGAGAAATTCACCTAAGAACTCATGATCCAACGAGCACCCCTGGCTCTGCCGGGTTGAGCAAATTCTCTTTGAAGAACCATGTACTCAGAACTAGGAAGACCTGGGTTCAGGCTCTGTCTCTGCCACATCCTAGCTGTGTAATCTTAGCAAGGTACTTAACTTCTCAGAGCTCTAGGCCAGAGGTATAAATCACACAGTCCCTCAGGACTCCCTAGTGCAACTTGAACTGGATTGAAACGTAAGTGTTATTGTTATTGTTCAGTCATTGCAGTTGAGTGACCCCATTTGGGGTTTTCTTGCCAAAGACACTGGAGTAGTTTGCCATTTCCTTCTCCAGTTCATTTTACAGATGAGAAAACTAAGGCAAACAGGGTTAAATGACTTGCCCAGGGTCATAGAGCTAGGAAGTATCTGATGCTGGAAAACTCAGGTTTTCCTGACTCCAGGATTGATGCTCTAGCTGCTACCTAGCTAGGTACCACCTAGCTGCCCTAAAATGTAATTATAAAACATTAAATAAAAATGTAACAAAGTAACATTACATTTTAAAACTAAGTCACTTAAAAAAAGTAAACAGTGTGAAATGTAAATTCATGGTTTATAGTGAATTCTCTTTTTATGTTGTGCTATGTACATGGAAATGTTCTTTTTTTGTCATTATGTATTTAAGTTTAAAATGAATTTTAAAAATAACTATAGACAGTATAAAATACCTGGGAGTGTACCTGTCAAGATAAACCCAGGAAGTATATAATTATAAAACACTTTTTATGCAAATAAAATCAGGTTTAAATTAAAACAAACAACCTACATCACTATATGGCCGGCAGGGATCCTCATGTACGGATTAGTGGCCCTCCTTTCTATGGGAGTTTGACATGACTGCTACTCTAGAATTAGTGTTGTAGAAAAAGTGCAGACCAGCATTGGTAAAGGGTGTTTCCTCATCTTTTCAATAAAATCACAGGTGCAGATCCTGTACCCATCCTTCAAACCAACTCATCCAGTTATAAGCCTTCCCAGTAGGACCCAGGGAAGATGGCTTACATTTACATTGCATTTTATGGTTATAAAAGCACTCTGTATGCACCATCTCATTTGAGCCTCCCAATAGCCCTGTGAGACATGTAATGTAATAATTATCACCCTCATTTTACAGATAAAAGAAACCTGCGCTCAGTGACTTGCTCGACCACACTGCTAATAGGCACCAGGGCTTGGTGCTCAAGCCTACGTCTTCTGGCTGCAGACACAAAGTTCTTGCCCCTACACCAGGGTGTTTAACCCATGACTCATTTCCTTTCTTCAGCAGCCCCCTTTTAGATAATCCAATGCTAGGGACCCTGATCTCCTGGCTGGCATGATTACCAGTTAACATGTTCTGAATGGGTTAAGTACTAAGCTTTTCAGTAGTTTGACTGTAGAGCACTTTGGGACATTTATAGAAATGCCACTATACGGTGTTACTTAAGAGGTCCCAAGGCAGTTAATAACCATTCTCCTTTATATTTATGGACACAGTGAGTTGGTTTCTGTGATATTCTGACTTCGGAAACTTCCTTCCATCTCCTCTTAAGTATTAGAGAGGTTGCTACTTAAATTATATTTATTTGTTCACTGATCTTATTCCTCTATCTTCTTCAAACTAGTTTTTTGGTTTTAGTTTTGTTTGATTTGCAAGCAATAGCCTGCTCTTCATTGCCTCTAGTGCTCCTGCACTGTTCTCTTTCTGCTGTGTAGCCAGGCTCTCTGTGCCTTCCCATCCTGGTCTTTAGGCTCCAGACATCTGCACCACGGCTCACCTTTCACAGAATCATAGACTCTTCTAGCAGGAAAGGCCTTGAAGATCACACAGTTCAACACCTCCATTTTAAACAAGAGGAGACAGAGGTTCAGGGAGTTGAAGGGAATTGACCAAGGTTACTGAGTTAGTGCCACAAGCAGGACTACAACCCAGGTTTATTTATTCCTGGTTCAGGGCTTTTTCCTTTAAACCTTGCTGTCCAAACCAAAGATTTAAAGCCAGAAGGGACTTTAGGGGTCATCTATTCCAACACCCTCATCTTATTCTATTTTTTCAAATGTATGATTAATGCCTTTTGCCTTTATATAAGCCATTTTTCACTCTCCCCCTCTACCCCCCCATGAATCTTCTCTTGCGACAAAGAAAAACAAGCAAAACCTCCCACAGAGTAACCTCATCTGACAAATGTGTACTGTGCCCATGGCCTAACAGTGCTCCACATCTCTTTCATGAGGGAAGGGTTAAGTTTCATCATCTGTACTCCACGACTTTTGCTCGTTTTTCCATTTTTTCATTCACACTGGTGGTCTCTGTTTATACTGTTCTCCTGTTGCTGCTTAACTTGCTCCGTATCAGTTCACACAAATCTTTCCACATTTCTCTCAATTCCTCACCTTCATCCTCTTGCTGCACAGCACCATTCTGGGCACTCACTTCGTTTCCAGTTCTTTGCTACTGTGAGAGTGAGGCTATGAATGCTGTGGTTGTATTGGTCCTCTGTTTCTATCTCTGACTTCTCTGGCAACTCCCTCATTTTATAGAGGGAGGAAATTTTATAGAGGAAACCAAAAGATTAAGCAACTTGCCCTAGGTTACACAATTAATAAGTGGCAGAGCTGGGATCAACCAATTGACAAGTATTTATTAAGAGGCTGCCATGTGCTAGGACTTGTACGAGGTGCAGGGGAATATAAAATGAAACTGTGCCTGACTTTAAGGCAGGGATATTCTACCTAGAGTAGTGGAGGGGGAAGGAGAAGGAGATACAAGATGTTCACAGATAAGTAAACATATGCAACCTAAGTGCATAGTGATGAGAATGTATACACACAACTGCAGGACTCGGGAAAGGTGTGGCCAAAAAGGGGGCACTTCAGCTGAGGGAGAGGGGAGTGGAGGGGCACTCTCAGCACTTTTCCTACTCTATCCTGGATCTAGAGTCCTGGGCCAAGCCTTCTTACCTCATACCTGGACTACTTTTAAAATGTCCTATTTCTCCTTTTGATTTCTCCATTCATCTACAGGGTGGCACAGTATCATGAAAAGAGTATAAAATCTGGCTTCACGGGACCTGGGTTCAAATCCAGTTTCAGATATTACCTAAGCAACTTTGGGTAAGTAATTTCACCTTCACTTGGCCTATTTCCTCATCTGCAAAATGAGGAATTTGGACTACAAAACTTTAAAGTCTCTTTCACTGTTAAATCTATGGTCCCAGAATAGGCCCATGCTTCTTTCAAATACCTCCTGACCACTCTTTTCTTCTATGAACTTTTCAGGAGTAATGGTCACACTTTCCTGGGAGCTATGTTGACCCCACCTGTGTATTCCAATGGAAAGATTACCAAATTAGAGTCAGAAGATCTGGGTTCTAGTCTCTGCTCTATTACTTCCTATTTGAGTGGTAACCGGTAAGTAAGTCACTTCATTCATCTCTTGAAGTAGATACCTGACTATATAAGTCAGGCATCTCTGTACAGGAGGGGCCTCAGGGGGCTCGCCTGAGGACAAAATGAGATAACAGATGCAAGATGCTTTGTACAATGGAAAGGACTATCTACATGCCAGTTATAATGGTAATGTATATTATTATGGACAGACCACCCAATTTTCAGCCCTCTGAATCATTAAGCCCAACTGTAGCAGAGCCAACTCTCCAGGTAACATTCAGTCCTAGATCTGGTATGATTTGGTTAGATTAATGTTCAGGTGTTTCTGCTCAAAATTAAAAAAAAAACTTTTATGGATGCTTTTGTCTTTATATCACATTTACTTCAATCTCTCCTTCAGATGGAACTCTGCTTGTGAAAAAGAAAAATAATTAAGCAAAAGCATTCACCACATCTGACAAGGCATACGATGTCCTGTCCTAACATATCTGCCTCTCTGCCGTGAAAGAAGGCAGTATGTTCCATAATCTATTCTCCAGGTCCTTCATTGGTTTTTCAATTGCGCATTTTTGGCTTAACGTTAAACAACATATTCACATGAGAACTGGAAGTTCCCAAACAGTCTCCCCAACACTCCCTCATTACAATCTGTGCTTCCAACAAGAGGCTCTAAATAAATACGACAGTGAACCTAATTACCCTCAAGTCCATCATACTTTATCTCTGTACTCCACTCTTAACACAAATTAGCTCAGAAGCTCCCTGGATAGAAGCCACAATGTCTGAGTTTTTGCACAGTTTTCTAAGAAGTTCAAGTGGCAAAGTTAAGAGAACCTTATCAAAATTTTTACAGAACCCTAGAATATTATTGCTGGAAAGGACCTTGGAGATGATCTACTCCAATCCCTTCATTAATCAGATGAGGAAACTGAGGCCCAGAGAAACGAAACATTTCTGCCTAAGTTTACACAGCTGGAAAATACCAAATCTAGGACAAGAGCAAAGCTCTCCTAGTCCTAACCCATCCCCAACCCAAGCCCACTATGCCATGCTCATCAACAACCACACAAAGCAGTCTGCTGAGTGTTAGGCAAAACATGTGAAACAGACACAGTCCCCATCCTAGAGGAGATAATAGTTGGATTCTATTTTCATCCCTGCCACTGGCTGGCAGTGAAACTCTAGAAAATTCACTTGGCATCTTCTGACTTCAGTCTGCCCATCTGAAAAATATCAAAGGCAAATCTACCCTCACCTCTATCTTCACCTTCTGCCTCCTTTCAGAGGCTTAGAGAAGATTCACAAGATCTTTGTGTTTCAAGCTTCCCAAGGAACTACAGTTATCCCTTCTATATTGTGAGGATTAAGGGCACTGTCTGGAAAATATGTGTAAAATTTTTTGGCCCTCCCTTCATACCAGAGCAGAAGTCTGAATTATTATGATATTAAAAGATAAAACCTGTTGATATTATACAAATACTATACATATATTTTATGCATTTCTGAGTTTCTCAACTTTTTCTGTGTCATCTATTGGCCTTCGCATGTTGTCTGTGGCTTCAATAAAACTCCCCCCAAATTCCCATTTAATTTCTTATGCTGACCCACAAAATATCGAAACTGAAATGGGGAAAGGTGTGATGGGAAAGAGATAACTGTAGTTAATTGTCATTAACCTGCCCCACACTGCACCTTTAGGAGGAGTCCAGTGATGTGTTCCATATGATGTCTGAAGCAGGAGAAACTCAATAGCTTTGTTGTCCACTTTGGGAACGCAAGGTCTTCGGAAAATGATAAAGCCACATGCTCTTAGAGACATGGTCCACCTAGAAATTTAATGGAAAAAAGTGTATGGGGAAGTTACATAAAGAAGAACAAAACTTTTGGTGAGCGCTATTTGATAATCACTTGGTTAATACCTAATATACAAACTGCACATATATAATCTATATCAAATTGCTTGCTTTCTCAAGAAGGGGAAGGAGAAGGAGGGAGAGAGTTGGAACTCAAAATTTTTTAAAATGAATGTTAAAAATTGTTATTACATGTAATTGGCAAAAAAACACACCCTTTTTTGACTTAGAAAAGAATACCTAATATGCAGTGCAGGATTTAATTAAATAAATATTTATTAAACGCCTACTTTATATGTCAGGCATTGTGCTTACCACAGGAGACACAAAAACAAAAATAAAAAGAATCAAAAAAGCTTCCATTCTACTAATGTAATAGCATATACACCCGTAAGTAAATACAAAATATAAAAAAGGGACATACAAAGTAATTCCAGGACAGGGCAAATACTTGGGAATAAAGGCAAATGATGGCAGACTATGCACCAGGAAAATTCTGCTCTTGGTTGTCTCCCAGAATTAATTCCTACCTGTTCCTCATCTCAGCTTTTCTTATCATAACATACAATAGCTGATACTCATCCTGAATAGCCCTTTGAGGGGGCACAGTAGGGACTGTGAATTGGCAAGACATTTAATAGAGTACTGTGTGCCTATCTAAAGTTACAGCTTCTCCCAGCCAGCAACCTCAAATCCTAATGAAAAAGGAGACATGCAATATTATTCCTTTGTGTTTACAGGGGTAGCCATATAGAAAAGTGAAATGAGCCTAAATTTGTGAGTCAGGAGACTAGGTTCTAGTGGTATAATAGAAAGAGGTAGAATTAGGAAACTGGAATTTGAACCACAGCTCATCCATTTACTAATTGCACGACTATGGACAGGTCTCTGAACCTCAATTTTCTTCATTTCTAAAATTCGGATAATACCTCACATGTTGCTGCGAGGAAAGGGTAAAGCTCCATGGAAATCAGTTTTTGTTAGTCCTGTGTCCCTTCAAATTAATGTGTGAACTCCCCACTCTGGGCCTTAGTTCTTCATCTATAAAATGAGGATGTTATACTCATATGACTTCTAGTGTCCAATGCAACCATGATCCTATTTCTGATTTCAAAATAATGGACCTTTCTTCCTGGGGATCCTAGCCTCAACATATTACTCATTTCTTAGATTTCTTTTAGGGCTGAAGAGCTCAGGTTGAAACATGCTAAATATTTAAAATATGGGTAATGAATGCATGAGGGTCAGCAAGAGGACAGTGAAAGCAAACCTCTAATTAGAAAGAATTTAGATCACTATTGATGGTGGTAAACCGGTCTCTGATTTCTCTGGCATGGGAAGGGGGATGAAGCCCAGCAAGTCTAAATTAGAGAGAATAGAAGCTATAGACCAGGGATGTTGCCTCGAGGCCACAAGTTTCCCACTCCTACTATAAACTATAACTGAGGACACTTTAAAAAAAAGAAAAAACCTTCTATGAACTTCTCCCATTAGCCCAAGGGGTCAGAACTCTCACAGATCCTAGGATCACAGGATCACAATGAAAGGACTGTGGAGTTCATCTAGTTTAACCAACTCACTTCACAGATAAACGGATCTTGTCTGAACTCACCCAGATAATAAATAGTAGATAAAGATTGCTGCCCAGAAGTTCCATTGTGAACCATAATGGTAAATGGGGAGAGAGGTGCTGTGGAAATCAAAAGGAAAAATCCCAAGAAAACAGTTGCTAAAGTAAACCAGTTTTTTTATTTGCTAGAAAGATGCACTCAAAGCATCTGCGGATAATCTCAACTAGATTTTACTTTAAGGCTTCTTTTATACAGAAAAGCAACAAAATCAAAGGAAATGCTTTCTCTATTCAGATTGTCTACACTAATGAGGTACAGGAACAAGGGAGTACAGAAAAACAAACTCAGTTAAGAAACATCTGCTTTAAAAAGATATAAATGATATATGGTAGAGACAATTAACTGGAGCTGATGAGACATCTACATAAACAGGATATATGTGATACAGGGTACAGACAATTAACTGTAGCAAAGAAATATCTATTGGAACAGGATAAAAGGTTCAGGATGTTTCTTCTGATAGTACATTGTTATATATTGTGCTTACTCAGCAAACTACAGCAGTCCTGTACAATTACTTAAAACCATGATCTAGTTACTTAGGTTCAAAGTTAGTTTGATTTAACCAACTAATGGGGCATTGGGAATGAACAACTATAGTCATTCTAACATATCACATCATCAAATCCAACATCACCTCAGGTCCTCTCTGCTCATAGACCTACAGGCTCATAAAGCTAGATGTGTCCTGTGAAGACAACTAGTCTAAAAGAACAGTTCAAAGTCAGTTTCCCCAAAATTAAGTAGAGCTAGGACTGGACTCTGGGTAATCTCATTCCCAATCCAGGCCTCATACCACTGTCCTCAAATTAAGTCTTTCACATAAATGGTATTCCTCAAACACTTGAACAGAGAATCAGAAGAAAATTAATATACGAAAGAGGTGTAAAGAGAAATAGGGAGATACTTAGAAGGGAGAAAAGTTTTTGCAGAATTTTAAAAGAAACTTTAGAAGTCATCCAAAGTAGGCAATGAGAAGATTGCTGGCTGGTAGGAAGGATAGATTTTTTGAGTTAGAGGCTGCTGAGTGGAAAGTCTGTGGACGGCAAGGTGGAGACATGGGAAGATTCTGAGCTCACAATGACCCTGGCAATGCAGATCAGCTGAATGGCTAACCGGGGTGCTCTAGGCAGGGAAGATGGGAGAAGTTTTAGAACTTTGACTAAAACTATTTGCTACTAGAACAAGCATCATGAAATATGCTTTAAAACCAACTCTTAGGAAGGGAGATCCACCCCTCTGCAACCCAGAAACTTTGAGGCCTATATGAAGAAGAAGGGTTTGAAGGAGCAAGGAAAGAGTCTTAGGGGGAGAGTGAGAAATGCTATTTGATAGCTGTTTTAACTAATTATTCATTATAAATAAGTGCTAAACTCCATTGTTTCTACACTGCTGAAGGAATGGAAGTACTATTAATGCCCTTTAAATTTCTTAGAAACGATCCCAGTTATAGCTTTGTGAGAGATAGGCAATGGAACACCAATGCAGAGTTCATGAAGGGGATTGTTACTAAATAAGGCTGAAAAGATTGGTGGGAATCAGATTACAGAGGGTCTTAAATACAAAAAATTAAGAAAACCTATGTCTCTCCTCATTTCCAGCCTAATGTTCTTTTCAGTATAGCATGCTGTCTCCTCCAGGAAACTAAGGCTTTTGTTGTTGTTGGTTTTTGGCTAAGAAATGAATGTGACCTTCCTGAATTTCCAAGAATGCTTTGATACTTTGCAGCACAAACAATCCTTATTTCCAGGTTTGGAAATTCAGGAAGGTCGTGTTCTATAAGAAAAGGCCTTGAGGACTCACTATTTGGTAAAAATTGATGGAAAAAATGGAAAGCAGTTTGACATAAATTAGGTATAGAACAACATCTCATGACTCTCACGTCATCTCATGACATGAGGAAATTAGAGGAGTAGGAAAAAAAATTACCTTTCAGTTCTAGGGAAAGACGAAGGGTTCCTGACTCATAAGTAATAAAGAGGATCACAAAAGATAAAATGTTTAAGTTTGATCATAGAAAATTTAAAAGTTTTTGCTCAAACTAAGCAAATGCCATTAAAAGTAGAAGTGAAATAGGTGACTGGGAAAGAAATCTTTGTACCAAGTTTCTCTGATAAAGGTCTCATATCCAAGATATTTAAGGAATGAACTCAAATTTCTAAGACTGAGCGTCATACAACTGGCCAAAGGATATGAACAGGCAGTTTTTACAGGAATTTGTCTAAGCAATCGATGACCATATGAAAAATGCTGTCACTAATAATTAAAGAAATGCAAATTAAAGGAACTCTGGGGTCCCATATCACACTCAGATTGGCAAAGATGGCAAGAAGAAATAAAAAATGGAGGCTGCATGAGAATAGGCACACTAAAGCCCAGTTGGTTGGTCTAGCCATTCTAGAAAGCGATTTGCAATTATGCCTCAAAAATTACTAAATTGGGCATATACCATTTGACACAGCAATACTTCCACTAGGCCTACAATCCAAAGGAATCAAAGAAAGAGGAAAAGGACCTCCATGTATCAAAAATTTTACAGCAGCTCTTTTTGAAGTAGCCTCAAACTGGAAACTAAGGGGTTGTCCACCTACTGGGGAATGGCTAAACAAATTATGGTATAAGAATGTACATAATGGAATATTATTATTCCATAAGAAATTATGAAATGGATAGTTTTGGGGGAAACTGAGTAAACTGTTATGAACTAATATGAGCAGAACTAGAACAATTATACAATGACAAAATTATAAAGAAAAACAACTTTGAAAGACGTCAGAATTTTGATGAACGAAATGACAGACCATAAGTCCAGAAGACTGAAGATGAAACATGCCACCTGATGAAGTAGAAAAGAATGTCTGAGGCAGATGGAGCAAGAAGGACATGAGACAAGAGACAGGATGCAGGATGTGACCAGTCAGAAAAGTGACCAAAGAAGACTATAACTTGAAGCCCTTACGGTGGACTTATCTGTGTGCTTTCACAAAGCACCCTCAATTCCAGAACAACTCTTCCCCTCCCTTTCCTGTTCCCTTTGCTTATCACCTCTGGACTACCTGATATCCCAGGCATTTTGGAGCTATGCTTGCTCCTCCCATTCTCTTGTCCTCTTCCCCCTGTTCCATAAAATTGTATTTAAACCATACCCTTGACCTGGCTAACTGCCTTTGTCTCCTACAGGAAGCAGGGGCTGCCCTGCTCCTTTAGTGGAGCGGGGCCTGTGGCCTATGCTCTATCTCCTACATGGAGTAGAACCCATTGAGGCTCTATCTCATGGGGAGCAGGCCTGCTTGGGTGCATCACCTCAATAAATGCCTTTCTTTAATTTGGAGACTGTCCAAGTGAATTCTTTCAGGACACTACAACCCTCACATCTATTCCTCATCATTTCAGGTAGCACCTCAACCTTCTTGGGGCTGCCTGAACTCATCACCAATGGCTACAGAGGTCTAAGGGAATTCTTTCACACCTGAACCACTCTCCAACTCCGATCTCAACACCACCCACCTCTTATTAGAGAAGAAATAGCCTTAAAATGTAGAATGAGATATTTTTGTACATGGCCAATGTGGAAATTTGTTTTGTTGGATTTGTTGTGAGAATTTCTTTCTTTTTTTTTTCATTCTTTCACTGTTCAATAATGGCAGTAGGAAAGTGGGATATTAAATAGTTGTAAAAAATAAACATTTTTAAAAAGGCTTTGGGGAAATGCAAATCATTGATAACTACATAAAAGACTCCTAAAAATCTTTAACAATCATATAAAATGTAAAACAGGTAAAACTTAAGACACTATATCCACTAAATTGGCAAAAATGATAAAACTGAACTTTGAGGAAACAGGCAAATTTAAATTTTGAGAGTATAGACAAGGAAGGTTTCTGGCAGACTGGATATTCAAAATGCATACCTCAGTTTCTCTTTGTAACAAAAAATGTTTTTAATTTATTGATTTAGTTGTGATTTAAATTTTTTTAATTGGGGAGTTCCTGGTATGGAAATGTCTTCTGACAACAGAGACCAGCAACATGTAATTTATACTCTCATAGGGCTGCCTGGGGCACTGAGAGGTTAAGAGACATCTATAGAGAGTATGTGATCAAGGGAGAACTTGAACTCAGGTCTCCCTGACTCCAAGGTTGACTTGCTCTCCACTATAACCGTCTGCCTGGCTGATGAAATCACAGGTCTGGACACATTACAAAAAATCAAAACCAAAACTTTATCTTACCACACTAGATACTTCCTAACAAATATGAACCCCCCCCAAAAAAAATTCTTTCCTGTCCACCCCCTACACATTCAGGTTTAGGGAAACAGTTGAGTCATAGATAATAACAGAATTGCAACTGATAGACATGTCACCTTCCAATTTTTTAGTTTACCTAGTTTAGTTATTACTAACAAAAATGACGTGTACTTTAATTTTAATTGCCTGTTACCAGTATTGTACACTGTATTTGAGGTTTATTTACACTATTGCAGTCATTGTGTATGTATGCTTTCTTTACTTCATGACGTCACACAAGTTCTTCTATGTTTCTCTGAATTACTGCTATTTAGAATTTCTTATAGAACAATCAATTCCATTTTATTTATATACCATAATTTGTTAAGCCATTTCCTGATTGTAGGGAACATATTTTGTTCCCTGCTTTCCATTATAGCAAATAATGCTCCTATGAATATTTTTGCACATATGGGTCTTTTCTCAATGTTATTAACTTCCCTGAGGCATAAACTGAAAGAGTAAGATCTCTGGATCAAAAGCTATGAACAATTTAACAAGTTTTCTTGCATAATTTCAAATTATTTTCCAGAAGAATTGGACAATTCCCAGCTCCTCCAGCTGTGAACTGTTGGCCTGTCTTCTGACAGTCCCTCCAACCTTGAATTTTCCCATCATTGACAATTTGATGGTTGTCAGATGATCTCTTGGTTTTAATTTGCTCAAAGTGGTTTTTTTTAATTACTCATTTTTTTTCAACTAAAGGGCTGCAGTTTTTCAAAGAAAGGCAGTATTAATTAATTTATTAGAGATCTGCACTCCTCCTAAATTTATATAAATGCACAGAGTGTATTTTGGGGCCTTCAGGGAGAAACCAAGTGAATTTCTGAACAGTTCCATTTACATAAAAGTCAAAGCTATTTTTATTTGAGAATGAGTTTTTCTGAGGACCCTAGAGTTGAATCTGCTGCAGAGATCATGAGTACAGCCTGTTTTCACACTTTATCTCCATATAGGCAGACAACTCCTGAGTTTAGAGGCCTCAAATCAAATATGCAAAAATGCCCAAGCAGGGATTGAGTAGGAGTGAACTCCAATAAGATCAGCATTTTTAAAATGTGGCTCTGTGCCCCAGAATACATTTTTTCCTCCATAAAATTTAAAGTTTCTAGGCTACAGGTTTCAGAGAACTGATTTGGGGGTGATGTTGGAAGGGATAGACTAGAGCTTAAGACCTCAGAAATAAAAGGGTACCTTCATGAGTTTCATTCCAATTCATGCTTTGTTCCAAATTAATCTGACCCTTCAAATGCACAGAAATACAAAATTCAATCCGAAATGGGTTTCCAATAAGCCCACTCCTTAAAAGCAGCAGCAGTACTCTAAGCTAGAAGCTGAACCCAAGGCCGCCCCTCCTCTCATTTCAATTGTTATTTCATTTGCCAGAAGAAAAGTCAGAGGAACAATAAAAGCTAGACAATGATTGAATCATCTGGCAGGGAAGCCAGCACAAAGTCCTCAGAGGCTACGGAGCCTGTAGGCTTGGTCACATGTGTCCACTTGCTAAGACATAACAAGGAAGTAACGTTTTAAAAGTTGTATTATACCCTTACAAGCTCACGTACTGCACTAGTGCCCGGAATGATTATTATTATTTAGGAAAAACAGGCTTTGCCTGGGGAATCAGTGGCAAAATTATGATGTGGGAAATCCATATTTCTTGCCCTTTTCTGGGAAAGAAGGACAAGACAATAGCAGTGGCCCGCCCCAGTGGAGCGGTTTAAATTCTGGCATTGCAAGTCAGAATTTCTGAGAACTCCCTCCCCACGGGAACCCCAAGTTCATTCTTGTCAAAATCTTCCTCATGGTAAACTCTGAAGCCACCAAGCAAAGCAGACAGTTTGGCTGGTTGCTACATATGTCCTTGGATACAAACTGCTTTAATGACCTAACATGGGAATTTGCCTTGCTGCCTCCGACAAAGTCCAATCCTCCGACAATTTACACTGCGGTGCTCTTGTCAAAGCTGATAGCTGGGTAACCTCTTTCCTCCACCTTCCAAGTCCCAAAAGGGCTGCCAGATGAGGCTAAGTAACTACCCCTCTCCTGGAAAATTAATTCAGAGAGCACCCCAGGCAAATCTCTATGATTATAGGTTGCAGAGAAGGTGCCATTCTTCATTGCAGAGTAAACTCTACCTGGAAAGCTTCCTGTACCAATGAAAAAATCACATTAACACTTGTAACCCAATTACTTAGCTCCTATTCCTACTGACATGAGTTGGGGAAAGCTATTTGAGAAAGGATATATATATATATATAAATATCTTCAGCACAAAAACAAAATTGGGGAAGAGAAAAGCTTTACAACTCTCTTCTCAGAGAAACCAAGCATATAAACAATTTTGTTTCCTGACTGATAAAAAACCATCACCTATAGATGGGTTTGAATAAACAAATATAGGCTGGGCAAGAAGCAGTCTCAGCAAAGCCCACTAATTATGTAACAAGAGTGCCACCTATGTGCCATTTTGGAAATCAAAAGTATAGCATCACTGAATAGAACTTAAAGATAGGCTAAGAAGTCTTCTGGTCTAATCCACTCGTTTTACAGATGAGGAGACTGAGGCTTCCAAACTAAGATTAAATGGTTTGTCCAAGGTGTATACGAGTTAGTGATAGAGCTGGAACTAGAATCCAAGCCTTCTAATTCCTACTCCAGGCTTCTTTTTTCCTTATATTCTCCCACCTATTAATAAAGCTTTAAGTATCCTTTGCCTAAGGAAAAATTTGCAACACGAAGGAATCATTTAACAGGCAGCAAACCCAAAGTTGATGGAACTGTTTGTTCAGTGTGTAAATAACTCTTAAAGGGAGATCAAAACCCTTCATTGTCTCCCATGCTTGGATCTGCTCTTCAGAGCTTTCTTTTTTCTCCATATCTGCTTTTTTTGTTTTCCTGTTGTTCCTTTCCTTTCACTCTCCATATATATATACTGAGCTAAATGTTTCCTAACATAAAAATTAATTTAATTACTCTTGTGATATCTTTTCTTCTTCCTCTAATACAAATGAGTTGTTAGAGATGGAAGGGACCTTATAGATTATCTATTAAAACTCTGTCATTTTACAAAATGGCCCAGTAAAAGGAGTGATTTACTAGGTCATGTGACTACTTAGTAACACAAACTGTATTAGAACTTAGGTTTCTTTTTTTTTTTTAAGGCAATTGGAGTTAAGTGACTTGCTCAGGGTCACACAGCTAGTAAGTGTCAAGTGTTTGGTTTGAGACCAGATTTGAACTCAGGTCCTCCTGACTTCAGGGTCGGTGCTCTATCCACTGCACCACCTAGCTGCCCGAGAACTTAGGTTTCTTGAATGTCATACAGGTCTTCAAATGAGGGTATACACATATATATGTGTGTATGAATATATATTTTTTGATACTTTGAAAACTATATTTCAAAATGGTTATCAAATTTTAATACAGGGAATGACAGCTAAGTAGCACAGTGGATACAGTGCTAGGCCTACAGTCAGGAAGACCTGAGGTCAAATTTGGCCTCACTTATTTGCTGGGTGACCCTGGGTCAGTCAACCTCTGCCTCAGTTCTCTCCTTTGTACAATGGATTTAATAACAGCATCTACCTCAGAAGGCTATTGAGAGGATAATATGACATCATATTTGTAAAGTGCTTTGCAAACCTTAACACTCTTTATAATATGACAGCTATTATTATTAACTAATATTTTCAATAACTGAAATAATATTTTATAATACTATGCATTTTATTTTATGTATTTCAAGACATTATTCTGAGAAAGGGGTCATAGGCTTTATCTGACTGCCAAAGGTGAACACAAAAAAAGTTAAGAACCCCTGATTTATAGTGCTCTTTTTAATATACCAGGCTATTCCCTTTACTTTCTCGCCATTCATTCTCTTTTCAACCCGTCACAATTTGGCTTCCATCTCTACCACTCTACTGAGATTATTTTCTCAAACATCAACGACCTCCTAATCAAGAAATCCAATTTTTTTTCCCACTTCTCAATGTTCTGATTCTGTCTGGATTATCTGATCAACCCCTACTTCTACATATTTCCTCCTCCTTTGACCTCTGGCTTCTCCTTGATACCATATTGTTTGGCTTCTTTTCCCACCTCTTTAACAATCTTTCATCCTCCTCACTAGCATCTCATCCTTGTCCTTGAGTGTTCCCAGGAAGCTCCTCCGTTTATCTCTCTGCTCTTTCCTTCAGCAACTTCATACAATCCCAACACTTTGACTATTACCTCTACTCAGATGACTCTCAAATGTTTAGCTCTAGCCTCAACTTTTTTTTTTTTTCCTGAGCTCTGGATCTGCATTTCTAATCGCCAATGTAGAAGATCTTTACTTGGATGTTCCACTACGACTTCAAACTTAATATGGTTCAAAAGAAGACTATTATTCTCTTTGCCTTAAATATGGCACCACTATTCATTCCATCTTTCATATTTGTCATCTTGGTCCTGTGCACAGAATCTGGTCATGTCATTGCTCTGCTCAAAAATCTTCAGAAGTTTCCTCTTACTTAATAAGTAAGTTTCAAACTGTTGCCTGGTATTCAAGGCTCTTAACACTGTGGTATCTCCTTAACTTTCCAGTTTTATCTACTATTCCCTTCGATATTTTCTACATGCCAGCCAAATTATGCTTCTTATCATCTGTGCTTGTAGAATTTAGTTCCTACTTTTCCCTATTCCTGGAATCATCTCCTTCCTGTCTACTGAATTCCTCTCTTAAAATCCAACTCAAAAACTAGATCTTCTATGCTAATCTCCCCAGTAGGTAATAATCTTTCTACAGACCTCATAAAGCACTTTCTTTGTACTTTTCTAATGCACTTACATATTACAGACAGTGAGACACTGCTGTTCTCAAGATACAAGATAGTAAAAGAATGAGAGGAAAGCCTCCCATGTATTGAGTGGATCCTTTATAAAGACTATATGGATAAAAACTGCAAAATATGCTACAAAGAGATTTTTTTTTTTTGCTTTTTGGTAAGGTAATTGGAATTAAGTGACTTGCCCAGGGTCACGTGGCTAGTAAGTGTCAAGTGTCTGAGGCTGAATTTGAACTCAGGTCCTCCTGACCCCAAGGCCTGAGCTCTATCCACTGTGCCACCTAGCTGCCCCAGGAATTTTTTTTTAAAAAGTATTATTAAAGCCTTTCTTTTTTTTTTTAACATCAAAGTCCTTTCTCAGCAGTCAGGAAAAGTTACTTTCTGGTGGTGGTAGCATTTGAGCTGAGCCTTAAGAATAGGCAAAACATGGGGCAGCTAGGTGGCGCAGTGAATAGAGTTCTGGCCTTGGAGTCAGGAGGACCTGAGTACAAATCCAGCCTCAGACTTACTTAACACTTACTAGCTGTGTGACCCTGGGCAAGTCACTTAACCCCGACTGCCTCACCCCCCCCAAAAATAGGCAAAACAGGTTGATGTGTTCAATAGGCCTTAAATGTGAATGTCTTCCTCTTCTCTTTCTAAGCTCTCCACTTTGATGATCTAATCTACTTCCATGGTTTCAAAGATCGTTTCTAATACTGATGACTCCCAAATTTTTTACTTCCAACTCCAACATTTTCCCTGAGTTCCATGTCTATATTCCCATTAGCCTGCTGCCTCTACAGGACTACAAACTCAACCTATTGGAACTCACTACCTCTCCTTGTAAACCTGCACCCTCAATTCTCCAGTAATAGTGCCAGTTTCCCAGGCTCCTAACCTTGACTCCCAACACATTCGATCAGCTGTCAAACTCTGTTGTTTCTGATTCAGCAACATCTCTGGCACCCAGCCTCACCTCTCCAATCTCCTCTCTCAATCTGATCTTTGTTTAGACTTTAATCTCTGCTCATCTTGATGATTATAACCATTTCTTACAGGCTCTTCCTTCCTCCATTGTATAGCCTCTCCCTTAGATGCTTCAGTGTTTGTTGTCTGTGGCATCACTATAATTACAGTATTCCGCTACCTAAAAAATTTTAGTAGCTCCCTGTTACCTTCCAAAGTATAAACTCCTGTTCCTAGCATTTGAAGCTCTACACAATTTAGTTCCAACATGTCACTACTCCCCTTCCCAAATTCTACATTCCACCCTAATTGGACTTTTCTCCTTAGATGTTCCATACTTTTTACACAAACCATTTCCCTTCACCAACAGCTCCTGAAATTCCTCACTTTCTTCAAGATCCAACTGGATACCTCCTTCATTAAGTCTTCCCTAAATACAAACCCCTATCGTCAGCTGAAAAGTGGCTTCTCCTGCTCAAAATTCACAGTCCTTTGTCTGGATCTATCCCCACCGCATTTCTCTCACTCTCTGGTATTAGTTATTGGTGCTTTCGTTCCCCCTTTACCCCAATCCCTCATCAAACTATAAAATACTTCAAAGAAGGGACAGTGAACTACCTACCCTCATATTGCCAGCTCCTAGCGCCAAGTGAACTGGGGAGGGCATTCCTGGGAGGAGAAAAGCCAAACCCGGTCAGGGCTGAGGGGTGGTTGGGGTAACAACATTAGGCTGGAGCAAGGGGCAACTTTTTGCAACAACAAGGCCTTCCACACCCGGGCTTCAGAGACCTGGAATCCCAGCCAACGTACTCATTCATTCAATTAACCAGGATTAAAGTGGGGCAAGGCAGTGGTAGGCACTGAGCATACAAAAAGCAAGAAAAAAAGAAGGGGGAAACAGTTCCTGCCCTCAAGGAGCTTATATTCTATTAAATAGAAACAACTTGAACATTCGTTAGTAAACTACAAAATACAGCGTAAATGGAAAGTATTTTCCCCATCCCCGACCCCTTCAGGCTGGATGACTCAATGCCTCAGTTTCCCCTTACATCTCCTTAGATCAGTTAATAAAGCTACTATTTCATAAAGACGTCAGGACCCTGGTCCGGGTATCAACGCCGTAAAAAGCCCCAAACCAACATACCTCCAGGACAGCCAACGTGGGGAGGAATTTAATGGGAAACTGACACTTCCTCTACCAATCAATAAGTTTCGCTGAGAGCCGGAAGGCCCAATAGACTTCGCAACTGTCCCATCTCGTCCCCGGCACATCGCTATCGCGAGATTTTCTCACCCACTGGAAAAGAGAAAGAGAGAGGTTATTGCTTCAGGATTCGCCAAGAATCGTCCCTTCCCCACCCACTGTTTCCTGATAGCTTCTGATTGGTCTAAGAGCAAGGAGGGTGGAGCGACTCCTACCGCTCCCTCCCTCCGCCTCCTCCCAGGGTTCCCATTGGCGGGTTCCCGGGGTAGGCCGGCGCGCGCGGGAGTCGGCGCGGCGTTCGAACGGGTGCTTAGCGGTGTTGCCATGGGGATGCGGCCTCGCCTTCTCCGTGGATCGGTTTGTTGACGTACCGCAGAGTCACCAGGGGCAGTGCCCCGGGGTGTCAGAGCAGCTAGAGTCAAAGGTTCGGATGCCTCAGCAGGTGAGAGAGAGGGGAAAAGCGTTCCCGAAGTGGGGAGATGCGACGAGAGTCGGTGGTTGGAGGGAGCCCGGGAGACACTCGGGGAGTGCGGGGTTGAGGCTAGGGATGAAGGAAGCCGCGTGGGGCTCCGGAGGAGGGAGGGAGCTGGGCCCGTGCTGGGGGCCGGGGGCAGGAGGTGGCCGTGTGGCCCCAGGTGTAGGGCGGCTGGAAGGGCCAGTGAAGCTCCGGAGAAGGAGAGGCCGCCTCCCCACCCCCAAACCCATAGGAACCTAGAGCGGGAACAGGAGAGTTGGGAGTTAGGCCTCTCCGAGGGCAGTTTTATAAAGTAGACAAAATTGTTTCGAAGTCCTTTCCATCTCTTTCTTTACCTCTAGCCACTGTCCTCCAGCAATCAGGCATTCAGTCAATAAACATTGATTAAGCACCTACTGTGTGCCAGGAGAGGTGCTAAGCTCTAAGGATACCAGGGAGGTATAAGATTTTCCCCTGCTTTTTGCTACCCTTTGGCTATCCCCACACATTGAAAGAACCCCCTCCCAAAGCTAACCTTTCCTAAGGGCATTGGGAGTCCAAAAATTATACCCCTCCCTTTCCCTTTAATCAAAACTCACCCTTCAATAGTTAGTTTCATCTAGGCCTTAGGGAGAACGAAGCATGAGACTTAGTAAAGTGTAAAGGATGTGAAACTTATTACCTAAACATTTAAATTGTTTTGAGAAGAGTTTGGATAAATTAGTGGATCTGCAAATTTGTGACAACTTATTAAAGTAGGTTATGCCACTCAATGAATTAATAAATCAAAAAGCATTGATAAAATACTCTGTGCAAAGCTCTGGGCCATGCACTAGGGATACAAATAGTAAATAACACTCCCTGACCTGAAGGAACTCACATTGTAATGAGACTCTAAAAATAATAGTAGCAAACATTTATATAGCACTTACTATGTGCCAGAGGCAGCATGCTAAGTGCTTTACAAATATTATCTCATTTGACCCTCCTGACCATCTTTGGAAATAGGGGCTATTATCCCCATTTTACAGATGGAGAAACTGAAGCAAGCAGGTTAAGTGACTTTCCCGGGGTCACAGAGCTAGTAAGTATCTGAGGTTGAATTTGAATTCAGGTCTTCTGGACTCCAAGCCAGGCTATCAATCCACTACAGCACCTAGCTGCCCCATGACTGGCTGTAATGGGGAGACAACACGTTTTCGGCTGCTTTTTAGGAGAAAAGGCTCCATGATCCTTAGGATACAGGAGCAATGCAGATGGCATTGCATCTTCTTTAATGCCATTTCCACTGATAAAATCATCTGTTTCTGATATTGAACCATTTGACAAGTGCTAAGGATTTTGGTGGTAAGAACTTTCTCTCCTGGGCTGTGGTTGCTGAGGAGGTTGTAGACATGCAGGAGCAACTGCTCAGGTTGCAAAGCATTTAGTCTTCATGCAAGGGAAAACTTTCTTAACAATTAGAAATATCCAAGTATGAATTGGGCTGCCTTAAGAGATCATAGAATCATAGGATCATAGATTTTCAAGGAGGAAAGGATTGTAGAGGTCACTTAGTCCAGTCCTTCCATTTTATGCATAGGGCAATTGAAGCCAGACAGGTGAAATGGTAGTGGATTTCCCCTTTAGAATATCTACAGATCTTTATATGACTGGAGTTGTTGTGAAGGGAATTTCTATATGGTCATGTATTACACTAGATGGCTTCTGAAGTTCTTCCAGTTCTGATTCAGTGAATATTTGAGGTTATGGAGATAAACTGCCCCTCCCATGGAACATCCCTTTTTTCTACCATCAGGAACAGTATTCACTGAATAATTAGTCTGAGCTAGGAGGGCAATTATTGCTCTCAAGATATAAATTAGGAGGCTTGTAACAAGCCTGCTGGTACTGAGGCCCTGGCATCAGGAATATAAATAATTGATTCCACTGTGTATGTTTTACCTTCCTATTAAGATGATGTCATTGTTGGAGTTGTGATCCACATGTACAGATAGACTGGAAGAGTCTCAAACTGACCTTTCCTTGCTATGTCAATGTGAAGATTGCAGACTAATCAGTATGGCAGATGCCTTACAGGTGGCTTGATGTCTTCACTTAAAATGAGATTGACCCATTGTGAAATGCTGTAGGCTTAGTGAGTCTAATACTGTTATTTCTTAGCTGTCCATAGCTTATGTCACGTCAGAGGATATTTAAAGCATTTTTTTACGTATGTGTTGCCTATAGTGTCCCTCCCTCTGCTGATGTAGTAGTTGTTTAGATGTCCCTGTGCCCATGTGAAAATTAAGCAGTGTAATATGTTGCAGGGAAAATCACTTCAGTGATGATGGACTAGCTGTTTTTCAGGACCTCATTGTTAGTGATTTTGCTATACTTTATAATGCACTTCTCACAAGTACGGTGATAAGGCTGTTTAAAAAGCTAGTGTGTAATTTTGTCTCAGTCTTAAAACATTTTGGACACTGCTGCAGTCCTTCAGCTTCATCTGGAATTTATCATTAGGTAGGCACCATACTTTTAGCTTTCCAGAGGGCCTGGGATACATAGGCCTTATTTTTCTCTACTTTTTTAGTAAGTGCATCACAGTAGTATGCTATTCAGGTTAATTCATTGCTACTTTTTTTTTTAATTACTGATGAATATCATTCAGCTGTCTATAATATCTCCTTGGAAAGAGCTAATATGAGATCTCAATCATTTTCAGACTTATCAGTGTCTTACTGGCTTGACAAACAGTTCATAATTTATATAGAGTAATTATTCAATAAATTATGAGCGAATGATCTCCTACTTCTTAATTTTAAGCAGTCTTTGTAACCTCTGAGGTCTCTTCTACTTAGATCTTGTGAATTTGTAGAGTGATTGATTTAACTTTCTTGGGACATTTTTCATCCATACAGTGATAGGAGGAGTGCTAGACTAACTGGTCTCTGAGCTCTTTCCAGTGATGGTCTATGATCCTATGACCCTGATTATGTTTCTGGCTTACTGAATTGAAAGAGTTTTCCAGAAGAGTAAACAAACAATTGGATCCTTGTTGTATTCTTGACCAGTGTGGGCCTGTGATTTCAACAATGTGGAGGATTCCAAAACAGACTGTAACTTAGACTCCAAAACTGTCTGTAGCTTAGACTCTTAGAAAGCTGCTTGTAGCATTGAGAAGTATTGACTTGATCATGGTCATGTAGTTTTCCTGGCCCTCCCTTTACTCTGCCATATTGCATCTCATATGTTAATTTCATTCTTACTGTATCAGCTCTGTTTATTGGTGTATTACTTATAGCAACATGTTAGGATACTATAGCTCTTGTTAACAATTCTCAAATTATCAGAGAGTCCCTTTGGATCTCCTAGAATTTCTCTGGGCAGCCAAATTTGCTTACTATAGTTATAAGAGTCAAATGCTTTTGAGTATTTGATAAATTGAAGCAGAATAGTGTAATGAAAGACTACTGGACTTGGGTTCAAATCCAAGTTTGGAAAGTTACTTAGCTGTGTAACTGTGAGCAAGTCAGCTAAACTCATCCATAAAAGGGGGAGAGTAATGCCTGTGGTATCTACCTTATAGGGTGGTTGTGAAGATTAAATGAGAGGGTATGTGTAATAACACTTTGCAAACTATGAAGAACATCTTTTACACATGTAAAGCTATCCTCCTTGGTGGCCTATGTCATTCCTCTTCTACCCATCATCTGACCACTCCTTTGCAGTCTCCTTTGCTGGATCGTTCTCCATCTCTTGCCCGTTATGTATGAGCATCCCCTGGGCTCTGTCCTGGGCCATCTTTTCTCTCTTTACCCCCTCTTTTCTGGTGATCTCCTCCACTCCCATGGGTTTAATTATCATCTCTGTGCAGATAATTCTCAAGTCTGTGTACAATATACATGTCTAATCTCTCTTCTGAGCTCCAGTCCTTCATTACTAACTGCCTCCTAGTGGAGCTTATCAACTTCTCCAAACTAATATGAACAAAATGCAATTAATTTTCTGTTCTACTAAACCCACTCCTCCAAACTCCCTTGTTTCTGCAGAGGGCACCACTATACCTCCAATAATCTGAGTTTTCAAATTGAAGTCGTCCTTGACTCTTCCTTCACCGGTCGTTTGTCAAATCTTGTCAATTTTGTCTCTACAGCATCACTGGCCTCTGTGTCCTTTCTTCCATTTATAGCTGCTACCCTCCTTCAAGCCCTTATCACCTTTTACTAGGACTGTTGCAATGGCCTCTTAATTAGCTTCTCTATTTTCAGTCTTTCCATTCTCCACACAACTGCCAAAATAATCTTCCCAAGGCACAGGTCCAGGCCATATCACTGCCCTGCTTAAGAAGCTTCAGCAATTCCTCATTGCCTGTAGCATAAAATGCAAACTTCAGAGCTTAAAATCTGAAGGACTCTTGAATGATGTTGCCAGTAAAGAAGAAGAATGATTTTTTTTTGGTTATATTTGTATATTCAGCTACTTGCTTAGATTTAGTTCTTATAGGCCAAAACTAGTGACAGCTAGTTTTGGAACTATGTACCCAAGATAATGGAAAAATATTTAGCCATACTTAAAATTATATAAACTTCCTTGTGCCTGAGTTTCTTCATCTGTAGAATGGGGATAATTTCTGCCTACTTTATAAAGGTGTGGTAAAGTTTGCTTAGATAACATAGCTACACAAATTATTAGTCTGACTTCATAACTCATCACTCAACTGAAATTTCTATCTCCAGTTACTAATGATTTTTAATCAAGTCTAATGACTTTTTCTCAGTCCTCATTCTTCTCAGCTTTTCTATAGCTTTTGACACTGTGAAGCACTGAATTCCCCTTGATTCTCTCTAGGTTTCCATGACACTGTTCTATCTTGGCTCTCTCCCACCTGTCTGACCACTCCTCAGTCTCCTTTGCTGGATTTTTATCCAGGTCATGCCCACTAACCATAGGTGTTCCCTAAGCCTCTGTTCTGGGCCCTCTTCTACTTCTATGCTATTTTCTTA